CCATGTTGGGCTTGAGAAGGGTGCCCTCGAGGTAGACGTGGTGTGCGACGAGCGCCTGGTAGCAGGTGGCGAGGACGTACTCTGTGGTGCGGACGGCCTTCTTGAGGTCGTGGTCGCCGTCCATGAGGATCTCGGGCTCGACGATGGGGACGAGGCCACCCTGCTGGCAGATCGAGGCGTAGCGGGCCAGGACCTTGGCGTTCTCGTACACGGCGAGCTCCGAGGGCTGGTTGGCGCCAATGCGCAAGACCGAGCGCCACTTGGCAAAGTCGGCGCCGTCCTTCTTGTACTTTTGGCAGCGCTCGAGCAGGCCGTCAAGACCCTGGGTGGTGGTCTCGTTGTCGAGGCCGGGCAGGTTGACGGTGCCCTTGTCGACCTTGATGCCAGTCAGAATGCCGTGCTCCTTGAGCAGAGCGGGGAAGAGCTTGCCATCGTCCGACTTTTGGTACATGGTCTCCTCGAACATGATGACACCGCCGAGGCAGTCGCTGATGGCTGTGAGTGGGGGTGGGGGGTTTCAGAGAGAGAGAGAGAGAGAGAGAGGGTGAGTTTTGCCTTGTTTCGAACTGTGCATTAGTCATGGTCGATTGGATTGTGTTTTTTCGACTTTACCCTTGTCGCCGGTGAAGAGAAGCTGGCGGTAAGCGCGGCGGTTCTCCTCAGTGTTCTCGACCTTGATGCTGTCGAAACGCTTGCCAATGGTGCCAGTGGACTCGTCGGCAGCGAGGATGCCCTTGCCAGGTGCGACAATGTAGTTCTGCGAAAAAAAAAACAAAAAAAAAAACGAAATAAAAAAAAAACGTGAGTGTTGAGTGTTGGGTTGCCAAATCTCGTCCCCCACTGAACGCACTCTCGGTTGAATGATTGAGTGCCAGGCTGTCGTCCTCAACTGCACACGGAGAACACAACGACACGAAGGCAGAGTGTCGAAACGCACAAAGCAAGGACCGAAAAGAAGAGAAGGGGAAATAAATCCACGCGTGATTTTTTAAAAAACACTTCAAGTACGAACAAACGAAGCGCGCACATTCAGCGTGCGACGAAAAACAACCCCACTTGTGCAGAGGCGAGTTGAGTAGAATGGCGCTTGCAACAACGGCGGTGCTGAGAGCGCTCTGATGCGCAATCAAAAGAACGGCATTGGTGGAAGGTCTAGCCAAAAAAAAAAAAAAAAAAAAGGAAAAAATGCCGTGTCCACAGCAGCAACAACCCCCAACACACGCTTTTCACTCACACTTGGCGACAACTGATGCTCCGATCGAGAGAAGCGACGCAAGCAGAGAGCGCGCGCTCGGCTTTGGCGCTGCTGCAAATGGCAAACCAAAGGCGTGATCTCACAGCGCAAGAGGAAGAAGTCGAAGAAAAAGAAGAAGAAGAAAAAGAAGAAGAAGAAGAAGAAAACGATCACGGCTTGTTCTCGTTCGTAGCGACACCCAGGATGCAGCTGGGAGCACAGAAGGGAGACGGGGGGGGGGGAGCAGAACACAAACCAAAGCATCGCACAGAGACAGGGAGAGAGCGAAAAGGGGGGGGGAGAGAGAAGCACTGACAGCAATGCGAGCAAGCTCGGTCTTTTGTTCAGCAGACAGGTAAGCCATTGTGGATGGATTAGGTTGTTTGGAGCAAAAATCAAAGATGAAATTTACACGACTGAGCGTACTTTCTGAGTCAGTCTGCGATGGCGTATGGAAGCCAAATAACGCCTCGATTGTACGGAAATGCAGTACCAAATACTAGTAGCTCGGCTGGAGCTAGAGATTTCGTCAGATCGACCAACCCACCCAGAAAGTCGTTCTGTTGAGCTTGACGCGAGTTTTGCGGAAATGTCTCGGACGAGAGTGCAAATTCTAGACAAATTGACAGAATGGTGATGGGCGGAAAACGCAGTACCACCTTGCATTGACGCGGATACCAGTCTTCATCCAAATGCGCTTGCACAAGAAGCGCTCTTCGCTTGTCATGCTCGCTACCCTCGCTGTTGCCGTCCTGCTTTTGTGCGGCGCCCGCAACGGACCCGTCTCTGCCGGACCAGGACTGTTTGGTCTTCCAAGTTTGATCGGCGCTGATGCGCAACAAGTCATATGTGGGGTTTTGCCATCGCAGCGCGAAAAGCAAATGCCGCTAAACAAAAAAACTGACGTTCGCTGCTGATGGTCGTTGATTTGGTGGCTGGGGTGTTCAGGTCCTCGGTGCACGTTTGTCAACGAGACAGTGAACTGGCAGATTCTGCCCCGTCTGGCGCCGTTCACGCTGGCAAGCGGCGACGGGGCGCCGTCGCAAGACACGGCCGTGCGATTGTGCCATGACACCAACGCGCTTCACGTCCGATTCGACGCAACGGACATTGACATTATCAACAATTATACCACGGTAAGGCCATACTCCGGCCGACTCATAGTGACAGGCGTTGCGTGGGCATGCGGGGAGAAAGAGAGTGCTCTTGTTTGTTGTCTGTGTTCTTACTCTGCTCCCCCCCCCCTCCTCCTCCTCTTCAGTGCAATTCGGACATTTGGAACCTCGAAACAGTCGAGTTTTTTGTCGCACCAGGCCCTGAGACACCAACAGTGTATCACGAGCTCGATCAGAGCCCCAATCCGGTAATCTAACAGCCTTCTGACTGCTGAGTTTGGTTGTTCCGTTGATGCGTGGCTCAACACTTGGCCCGAATGCAAGCACTCACCACTGTCCGTGTCCTTTCAACAATAATGCCTTTCGGTGCTGATTCCAATTGCTCAATCCGTCCTTTGCAGGGAGCCTACTTTGCATCACTCATCCACAACCCCAACGACAAGTGTGCGGGCATTGTTGGAAACCTCATGTCCTGCCCAACTGTCGGAGTCTCATGGGCCACCGGTCGGGTCAGCAACGGTTGGTGGGCGACCATCGTGGCCGACTTTGACGTGCTCGTCAACCTCACTGGCGACGCTCGCGGCTGGCATTCGGATCCTCGCCAGTTCGGCGAGCAGCTTTCGGTGCTCAATCCTCCCGTTGACAACGAGCCGGTCGAGGTCCCCATTTTGTTCGAACGCGAGGGTCGGGCGCCCATTCCGAAAGTCTGGCGTGCCAACTTTTACCGAATTGACGCTCACGCCAACGGCACCATCGAGTATTCCTGCTTGCACTCGACTCTGACAAACCCAGCTTGCTTCCATGTTCCTTCGCGCATGGTCGGTCTGTTGCTGGTATAGTGTTGTCGTGGGCAATCCGGGTTTGAAACCTCAACCGGTAAAATTTGAAGTTGGGGGGGGGGGTTTTTTGGTTTTTTTCTCCTATCAGTCGACCTGATAACCAGATAGGTTGCCTCTAGGTAGTAATTCAGGATTTTTGGCATGTTTTGTGCACCGAGGCTCTGCTCGCAAGCACTTGTAGAAACGAAACACAAAAAAAACCAGACCAAAAAAACAAACACATTCTACCCCGACTTGCTCTGATTGACTGATCAACAAGCTTCAAACAAATCCAAAAATCTTTTTCAATCCTTTTAAGCAGGGGGGTCCCAAAAACAGTGGGAAATCAGTGAAAATACGATCGGACACACACAATCGGCTGGACCCTCGAAGAGGGGGACGGCTGTTGTGTGTGCAGTCCACGTCGGGGTAGACACATGTTAACACGTCTTGGTCTTTGTACGCCGCTTCTTTTTAAAACGATATTTGCCATTGGCTTGTCGGGGAGAGCGCGGCGCGGAAACCCGTCCCCGAACGGACGAGATTCCTCAGCTGAAATTAGGCGACTTTTCGTAATGCTGCGCCAGCCAAATCAAAGTCAGCTCAGGAGGCTCTGTCAGCCCCGATTCTTTGGCAAGTTACTCAAATGGGGGGTCAGGTACATGAATTTTATCGAGCACGGGGGAATGGCGTCTCGAGGGCAGACGTGAGATCAAAACCGGACATGGGCACCTTCAACATTTCGAAACTCGGCACCACCACCAGCACCACCACCGCCGCCACCCGATGTCGCACACTCTTGCTTTGTGTGGAGTGTGTTGCGTCTCTCGTTGGTGGAGCAACAGACTTTTTTTTTTCTTTTTTATTCTTCTACAGTTTTTTGCCTTCAATCCCGATCAGGTTTGCTGAGCTCGTTCTCTCTCTTTTTTTTTCTGGCAAAATGGTACATGATTTTTTTTTTCCATTCGTTCAATATTCTCTCTTTGTGCAGCCGCCCGCTCGCTCCCCGTTCGACTTTCGGCCCAGCCCCCTTCCAGCAAAGTGATTGAAGGGACTTGAAGTGCAGATAGAACGGCCAAAAGCGCGTTGGGGACTCGGCGGCTTGGTGGAAAAGGGTTGGTGGGGGGTTGGTGCGACTATCGGCTCGCTCGCCCGTTGCAGCCCCTCGGTCGGCCCATCCCTTGCCACCAGCCTCCCCAGCCGCTGATAATCTGATACAACACACGGCTGCATGCTCGATTCGGGTCGAGGAAGGAGGGGTTGCAATGTACGAACGGCACAGAACGAGCAGGCAAAGGGATGGGGTGTTGGCTTTTTCGCTGACAAACGTTTTTTTCGCCTCGAGCTTGTTATTTTTCGTCCGCTCTGCATGCGGGCCCTCGGCCTCGTTGTCGGCTCCATACTGTCTGTCGGAAGTATTTGAGTGACATCTGTGTGAGCTCGTTTGATTCGGCCTCTGGTGCGGGGTGGTGCTTTTGGATTGTGTTTCAACAGCGGTTTGTGCTGTGGGTTTCAGCCGAGCCTTGGTCCTCTCTCTCTCTCTTCTCCCCTTTCCCGGCTCCTCTTGCCCGACTCGGTTGCCAGATCTGGTTGAATCTGCGCCAACGTCCCTGGCTTTCTCTTATTCGGCTCTGGCGAGGACAACAGCTCTGCCTTTTTTGATTTTTTTGATTTTATTTTTTTCAATCCTTCGGCTTGTGCTTGGCACACCTCGTGTCGCTCTTCATCACTAACCCCATTCTTTTCTCTTGCTGCTTCCTCACTCACTTCAGGTCAAGGACACCAAGAAGAAGGTGGCGGCCGCCCCCCTCGGCTCCAAGAAGGTTGCTGAGAAGAAGGCTGGCAACCCGCTCATCCAGAAGCGCACCCGCAACTTTGGCATTGGCGGCGACGTCCAGCCCAAGCGTGATATGGGCCGCTTTGTCCGCTGGCCGCGTTATGTGCGCCTCCAGCGCCAGCGCGCCGTTCTCTACGAGCGCCTGAAGGTCCCCCCGTCGATCAACCAGTTCACCAAGTGCCTGGACAAGAACAACGCGACCGAGCTCTTCCGTCTCCTCTCCAAGTACCGCCCCGAGACTTCTGCCCAGAAGACTGAGCGCCTGAAGGCTGAGGCTGTTGCCAAGGTTGACGCCAAGAAGCGCGACCCCACCAAGAAGCCCCTCCTCGTCAAGTACGGTCTTAACCACATCACCGGCCTCGTCGAGAAGAAGGCTGCCCAGCTTGTTGTGATTGCTCACGACGTCGACCCCGTCGAGCTCGTTCTCTGGCTCCCCGCCCTCTGCCGCAAGATGGACATCCCATACTGCATTGTCAAGAGCAAGGCTCGCCTCGGCGCCCTCGTCCACCTCAAGACTGCCACCGCTGTCGCCATCACCGGTGTCAAGAACGAGGACAAGCCCCAGTTCGCCAAGCTCCTCGAGTCTATCCGCGCCAACTACAACGAGAAGCACGCTGAGATCCGTCGCTCGTGGGGTGGTGGTGTTCTCGGCCAGAAGTCCCGCAACCGGACTGCCAAGCTCGAGAAGATCAAGGCCAAGGAGGCCGCTGCCAAGCTCGGCTAAACGCTTCTAGCTTTCGCGATTTTGCAACCCTGTGCTCTTTGCTCTTTCGTGTTTTTGTCCCTCACGTGTTTTTGTCCCTCATGTCTCAAAGAAATTTTCCTTTGCAGTTACAAAGATGTTATTGTTTTTTTTTGTTTTTTTTTTTTTTTTTTTTTTTTGTTTGGTGGTTGAGCAGTTGGTTTGTTCTTGTTTGACAAAGGAGAGGGGATGATGTGCAAAATTCTGGCTTGTCCATTGAAATCACTCGGTGGAACATGCAAATCTAGATTTTTTAGGGAGAATCAACAACAACTACATGGTCTGCACATACACGGCAGACAAGCACACACACGGGGGAAAGAAAAAAAAAAACAGAAAAAGAAACCAACAAACACAATGCAACACAAGACACAACAACACCTCAGTTGTAGGCTTGAATCAAACGAACAAGACGCAAACTGTCGCGCGCAAAGTCAATCGGAGCCAGCCGGACGAGCTGATACCGGGTGCGCATGCCACCTTGTTGGGATTGCTCCTGCTTGATGCGAAGAGTCATCTCGTAAGGGTGGTGCAGGGCCTGGGCGTAGATGGAGTCGAGCTGCTCTTGTTCCCCATTGAGCGCCAGCTCGTGCAAGTGTTCCAGCGTCAAGTCCTTGTTTGACGCTCCAAGAATGGTCTGGGCAGTGTCGCGGAAGGCGGTAATCCACTGGCTGCCAGTGCTGTCGTCTGCGACAAATGTGAGGTTGCAGCCAGAGATGCGCTGCGACACGTCGCCGCAGGTCGGGCACTGCTCGCCAATCGCCAGCTTTTTGCCGCAGACGGAGGGCTGCTGGGCTTGCTGTCGGCTGTTCGGTGCTGCTGCTTGGCCGTTGTCGATGGGCTGCTTGATGTTGCCGCATGCATAATAGTACATGCCGACCGAGCCATCGTTCGAGCCGCTCTTGTCGTCGAACTTGGTCTTGAGGAAGGTGACTGTTCCCTGCAGACGAGCATACTCGGCCTTGTCGGCGCCGAGGCTGTGGTTGCTGTTGATCTGCTGGAAGGTGGCGAGATCGCGGTTGCCGCCAGAGTACGCACCAGCGCCGCCAGTGACTTGCTGGAAGCTCTGGTTTCGGCCCTCCGAGTCAAACCATGCGCGGAGCTCTTGCGTCTCTGGCATGTCGGGCTCCACCTCCATTGCGCTCGAGCTGATGCACGACGCCGACTTGACGCCGCTGAAATCGGTGAGCTTGACCTTGCGGAAGGCCAGGACACGGTTGTCCACGGCCACTTGCTCGTCAAAGTTGGTGGCTTGCGTGTTCCACAGCGTGACGGTGATTTCGCGCTGCGACTGGTCGACCAGCGTCAGCTCGCGTTTGGGGACGGACTTTTGCTGCTTGGTGGTGATGGTCTGCACGTCGCGCGCGCTCTTGCAGATGCCAATAAGGTCGACCGTCTGCTCGCCAAGGGTTTCCAGGCCGTCAAAACGCACAAAGTTGTACACCACCTGGGGCAGATTGGCCTCGTCGTGGCACGGCACCCATTGTGTGCCCTTCTCAAAGGTCAGCTCGTAGTCGCTCGGCAGCGTGTTGTACATGCGGTTGGCCGGCTTGACGGACATTTTGCTAAAGTAGTACGCCTTGCCGACCTCGAGGCTGTTGATGATTGTGTCAATCTGCTCGTTAAAGGCCGTGGCACGGATTTCTGACGAGTCGTCCTTCAGATCGATCGAGCACACACGGCCGCCCGACTGGTTGTTGGGTCCCGGGTTTTTGCGCGCAAACTCGCGCACCGGGTGCTTGAGCGTGACGCGCGCGCGAATGATAAACTTGGACGGCATTGTGTTGTAAATGTATGCAATCGGCAGCGTCTCCGGCGTCTGCCCCTCCGCGACAATTTGCTCGAGCGTTTTGTTCGGATCGAACGCGGGGAAGGACTGCTGGGCGCGCGGAGGGCTGGCCACCCGCGCTCCAAAGGCAGACGTCACGGCGCCCGTCGCAGCATCCGTGTACTGTCGGTACGGCGACACCTTGGGGGCAGCAGGTGCAGCACCCACGGGTGCAGCTGCGCCGTTCGTGGCACCAGCAGGCGAGGTCGGAGCGCCGGCCGCGGCACCGCCAGCAACAGCGCCAGCATCAGGCGCGACCTCGTACGGCTTGGGGTCGCCAATCTTGCCCGCGGGGGTACCGAGAATGTCGACATCCATGAGAATGACGATTCTGTTTGTTGTTGTTCATCAGGTTTGAAGAAGACAGAAAAAAAAAAAAAACAACCAGGCAATGGCAAAGGAAGGTGAGCAACTAATATGGCTTCCCCATACTCTGCACTCGGATGAGACAACAGAAAACAACTTACGTTCGCTCAACGACGGGGCTGCACACAAACTTCTTGACACGAACAACGGTAAAGCGAGTGATTGCGTCCGTCTTGGCGACTTCTGCCAAGCTGGTGCCAAGCAGCGCCTGCATGTAGTGATGCACACCGTCGGAGATGACGACACGGTGACGATCGCCGGGCGTGGTGCCGTTCGATGTGAGCTTCTTGATGGACAGGATTTGCAAGACGGGCTGCACAACGTAGTTGCTCGCCTTGGCGGGGTTGGACATGGCCTGCGAGAAAACCGAACAAGAACCAAACAGCGAGGCAAGCCAACAAGAAAAGATGGTTGAGTTGTGGCTGTTCAAATTTGATGGTCCCGCGAACATGGAGAGAGGAAGGATAAGACGTCGGGAAGGGATAAACGTGCAGAATGGGGGGGAAAGCAAAGCGCGGGAAAAACCAAAACCAAAACGCGCGAAAGCTTCGAACCGCCCTCCTGGACGAACCAGGACGACAGAGCAGCACTTGTGAAGGATGCATGACACGTCAAGAAGCGTCATAGTAGGGGAAACACGGCTCGCAAGGCAAGGCAGCAAAAGCCGCCACCAGAAAGGACCAAGAAAGGAGGGATGGAAAAAAAAAAAAATGCGCGAAAACGAAAAAAAAGCGCGGGAGAAGTGTTGTAGTTTTCGTGTCGCTTGCGTGCCAAAGCAGTTGCGCTTTGTCGTGTCCAACAACCAGCGAGCGTCACCCGTGGCAGTGTGAAGAGTGGTAACGCGTGCGTGTGACAAAAACTGGCCATCTCACCTCAATGGCTCCGGCAGTCAACGTGAACTCGGCCATGGTTTGGACCAAAAGAAAAAAAATGGCGGGAAAAAAAAAAACGAGCAAAGAAAAAAAAAAGAGAGTGAAACAAACACGAGTGTCCAAAACCAGCTGGATAGAACTTGAACATGAAATCAACAAAGCAGCAAGCAAATAGCAAGACATGGCAGTACCATCGGAGCGAGACGTGAAGCTAAAGCGCAGAGAGCGAGTGTGTTTTGCGTTGCCAGGCAGGGAGTCGGTCAGCGTTTGGAACAAGCTGTTCAGCACCATTTGGCGATCGAAAATACATCCGCGCAGTGATTTAATGTCATGATGTACGATAATGTCGGAGATTCGGGAGGTGGGGGGCGAAAGAGAAGTTCATGAATGGCACGACTTCCAGCTTCCTCTCCTTTCATTCACCAAATCTCTTGTTCCATTTTCATGTCAGTTTCCAATCGATCTTCTTGGTGCCTACCGCTTCGTCAATGCCAGTTCCCATTGTTTTTGTTTTGTTTTTTTTTTTTTTTTTTTTGCTTTCTTCTTAGTTTTCAGAATGACAATAGAGGAAGAAGCAGCTGCGCTCGTTGCCTCGGCCTTCCCCAGCCTCGACAGCGCGATCGTCGAGTACATTACCAGTTGAGTGCAGTTTGTCACGGCCGGCGTGCTTTTGTGATTCGCTGGACTGCGATCGCTCGCAGAGAGAGATGGAGTGGGATCAAGCTCAGAGGTTATATAACAACAGTCCACGAGGGCGGCGGCGGGATTCGGCTCGGCTCGCTTTGATCTCCCTTGCGAAATTGCCATCCAGGAGCGAGTTGCATTGATGAGCTGAATGAGGGTGGATCTTTGACTCACTTGGACTTTGACACCAGGCGTCGTCGTTGGGATGGACGCGGTCGAAGCGCGCGACACGAACGAGGTCGCTGCGGCCATCAGCCCGCTGCTCGAGGACGCTGCTGCTGCAAGCCTACAGGTCGTCAGTGCCCTGTGCGCCAAGCTGTCCAAGCTCGTCGGAGGCGTCCCTGCTGCGGGCGCTTCGGGCTCGGCACTCAAGGTTTTGCCGCAATCGTCCTCTGCGAGACAGCCCATGTCCGCTGCTGCTACCGGAGCCAACTCGAGCCCGTCAGCTGACGACGACGATGACGAAGAGGACGATGGCTACGAGCAGGAGGAGGCTGACATTTTTGCAGAGTTCAACGTGCTCAAGACGCCAATCCGCATGGGCGATCTGCTCGCGCAAGAGAGTCAGTAGCAATCTTCCCCGTGGGCCTCTCAAAACTGACTCAATTAATTTGATCTATGGATGGGTGGCCGAGGGAAAAAAGATGGGGGATTGGGGTACTTTTGGAGTTTGTCCTTTGGACCTTTTGTCTCACTTACCCTGATTGGCTCAACTCAGGCGAACGTCTGGCCGCGATTCAACGTGTGCTGTCGGAGCGCCATGAGGTCAAAAAGACAGCCGTCAACCAAAAGCTGCTTGAACGAAGCGAAGGGCGGATTAAGCGCAAGCAGGACAAACGCGCGCAAAAGGAGATGCGACAGCTTGCTGCCATCTCGGCTGCTGCTGCCGCTCAAAACCCAGAGACCGCATCGACCAACTATGCACAAAACAAGGCCGCCGCAGCATCCTTGTCGCTCGATGTTCAGATTGAAAACTTTGACGTCTTCTTTGCTGGCAAGCCGCTGCTGCAACAAGCAGATCTCATGCTCGCGTATGGTCGTCGCTATGGCCTGATTGGTCGAAACGGTGTGGGCAAGTCGACGCTGCTTCGCGCGCTTGCTCGTCGCGAGTTTGGCATGTCTGCGTCGTTGACCATTGTCCATGTCGAGCAAGAGGTAATTTGTCTCTGCGTAGAGGATGTGGTCTTGATGCTTTCGTTCTCTTCTGTTTGCGCCACGATTCGCTCAACTGGGCTCTTTTTGGTCATCCTCGTCATCACAGGTTGTTGGTGATGATACCCCATCTCTGGAATCGGTTTTGGAGGCACACACCGAGCGTCACGAGCTCTTGCAAAAAGAAAAGGCCCTGGTTGCCTACATGGACGCACAGTACGTTTCCGAGATGATGCTGGAATATGCAAATTGACAGTTGTACACCATTCCAAAATGAATGCTGCACTCACTCATTTGTTCTCGCATGGTTCCCTCCGGTGTGTTGCTTGATTTTTCGCAACCGTCAGGAAGCAGCTCGGCCGCGAAGTGGAAACCAAAAAGGCGATGGAACTTGCTCAAGTGTACTCGAAACTCGAGGAGATTGAGGCCGACAAGGCGCCGGCTCTGTATGACTTCCGTTTGTGCTTTGCCTGCAAACCCCCGCCCCATTCTCGCAATCTCACCGTGTTTTCCGTTCTTCCTGACCTGGTTTTGTGTTTTCATAGCGTCGCTGAAATTCTGAACGGTCTCAGCTTTACCCAGGAAATGCAATCCGCTCCTACCAAGAGCCTTTCTGGTGGTTGGCGAATGCGTCTTGCTTTGGCTCGCGCTCTTTTCATGCGCCCCGAGCTCTTGTTGCTTGATGGTATAGCTCAAAAGCATTTGCAATGTGTTTTGATAGCATTTGCAATGTGTTTTGATGGCTTTGCGCGGTGTCTTTTGGTTTGTTTTTTTTTTGTTGTTGTTGTTGTTGTTGTTGTTGTTGTTGTTGTTGTTGTTGTTGTTGTTGTTGTTGTTGTTGTTGTTGTTGTTGTTGTTGTTGTTGTTGTTGTTGTTGTTGTTGTTGTTGTTGTTGTTGTTGTTGTTGTTGTTTTCTCATGTTCGCTTGTTCGCATGCTCCAACAACCAGAGCCGACAAATATGCTCGACGTGAGCGCCGTCCTCTGGCTGGAGAATTACCTGCAAGACTGGCCGCACACCATTTTCACGATTTCGCACGATCGCGATTTCCTCAACTCTGTCTGCACCGACATCATTCACATGCATCACGCGCGGTTGGAGGCGTACAAGGGCGATTACGACACTTTCGAGAAGGCTCGTGACGAGCGCATTCTCAACCAAGCCAAGGTACTGCATGCTATTCTGCATGCCGTCGGCGGGCATTTTTTTCGGACTCTCTCACTTTTTCTTTCCTCAACTTTTGCTTTTTTTTTGCTTTTGCCAGGAATACGAGGCTCAACTCATGTACCGTCAACACTTGCAAGCTTTCATTGATCGTTGGCGTGTCAATGCCAATCGCGCTGCACAGGCGCAGAGCAAGATCAAGATTCTTGAGAAACTGTATGATTCGGGGATGGAGTGCGCTTGTTGATTTGACTTCCACATGTTCACTTGTTCTTACTTTAATCCGACAAACCCACTTTGCCCACGCCTCACAGCCCTGAGCTCAAACCCATCGAGAAGGAGCCCGAGGTCCAATTCCGCTTTCCGGATCCTGAACCGATTGCCGGATCGCTTGTCCATTTTGATGATGTCGTCTTCCAGTACTCGAACGACAAGCCCATCTTTACCAAACTGAACTTTGGCTTGCGAAACGATTCTCGAGTGGCTGTGGTATGTGGAGCCTACTGGATGCATTACGGGTGCATGCGTGGCGGCAAAGCTGGGTGGGCACTCTTGTACTGTTGGCTCACGCAAATGTCGCTTCGTAGGTTGGTGCCAATGGTAACGGCAAGACCACGCTCCTGAAGCTGATCACTGGAGACTTGCTTCCCACGAAAGGAGAAAGCCATCGGCATCGTGCTCTTCGCATCGGTTACTTTTCGCAGTATCACGTCGACCAGCTGGATGTTTCTATGAGCGCGGTTGAATTCTTGCACACCCGCTTCCCTGGTAACTACAAGGTTTTTTTTTGTTAACTTCGTTTTGATAATTGCAACTGGATATTGACGGGATGTGTGTCAACTTTCATTTCCAATCTGGTTAGGTCAACCACTCCAAGAGTATCGCCGACAGCTTGGCACGTACGGCATGACTGGCGACACTCCGTTGCAACCAATTCGTACACTCAGTGGTGGTCAGAAGAGCCGCGTGGCCTTCACCCTGCTCGGCATGCAGAAGCCCCACTTCCTGATTCTCGATGAGCCGACAAATCACTTGGGTACGTGTTGTTTGACGTGTTTGTGTCGTAGCGAAGAGTTCCCACCAGTTTGCTAACGTATGCGTGTGTCCTCTCATTTGCTTTTGCCCTGCAGACATCGAAACGGTCGAGGCTTTGGCCAACGCAATCAATGCGTTTTCGGGCGGCGTCGTCCTCGTCTCCCACGACGAGCGACTGATTCGCAGCACGTGCACTGAGATCTGGGTTTGTGAGCGCAAGTCTCTGACCCGCTTTGAGGGCAGCTTTGGCGACTACAAGGCCGCGATGGCACTCGCTTTGCGCAAGAAGACAGGTTGACCGCTTGGATTTGCAAACCTCTCGGCCATTGCGTGCTTTTGTGGATTGTTTGAAGTGTTTTTGTTTGTTTGTGTTTCATCTATTGAAGCCCTTTTCTTGTCGTTCTCCCCGTCCGCTTCTTTTAGTTTTGCGTCTGCAGTTCGGCTGCTTTTCGTAATTCCTGTGCTAGCTGCGAAGGGAACCATTCGTGAACGCATCGAACGAGACTGATTATTTTATTTCATTTCGGTCTAAAGATACAAGAGGTGTAATACAAAAATGACGCGCAAAACATTCGTGCTGCTAAGGCATCTACAAATCGACAAACGTCTTCATGGCGGCAGAATCCTGCGTCGCTTCATAGCCGGACTGGTCTGTCGGAACGTGGACAAAACCATGGCGATTTCCTGAATACATGACAATACGCTGGTTGCGGGCTTGCAACAGCAATCGATCCAGCGGTCGCGACGAGGTGATTGAGAAGGACAACTGGCTTTGGAACAGCTCGCGCTGCACAATTGCAGTTGCACTCGCAGTAATCACATCGACAAACTCGTTCTCTGCCTCGGGTTGGCGGTGAAACAGCCCTGCACTCAATGGACTGTCGGGGCTGGCTTTCGCGCTCAGGTCTTCAGCGACATCGGACGGAAGAGGAACATGGAAGCTGCTCTTGCCCACAATCTTGGCGTCGGTGAAGCCAAAGATGGGGACGAGATCGGTCAAAAAGTTCCTGCCATAGTAATGCCGGGACTCGAGGAAGAGCATCAGGGGCATCGGCGACGGCTGCTTCCCCGAAACGACGACTGCTTGGTTCATGCACAGCCCAGAACCCCAATCGCGAGTCTCAAACACGACACGAGCCAGGGACGGGTAGCGGTGCTCGAGAATGCGTTCGACAGCTCCAGCGCGGTACAACCGTCGTGGCGAGCATACAGGGACGCGCTCGATCGTGCCACCGACCATTTCTGACAGGTCTCTCAGCCCAAGCGAGAGGTCGGCAGCAACACTGGCATCTCCATTCAATGTGGCTTCGACGCGAGCTTGAGCATGCTCTGAGAGTGGGAAGATTTGGCGGCCATACACTCCGATGACCAGTTCCTTCTGCGCATGCTCCATGCGCAAATAGCTCTCGACGTGCGCTTCAAGCTCGGGGAATGGACACTCCAGAATGTCGTCCAACAAGTCATCCTCGACCAACGGGACCAATGGGAGCGAGGAAGAATCTTGCTCGGCAGTCGCACCATTGTGCTCCATGCAGGCGACAACGGAAACACCAAAAGATGCGGATGCGGTTGCAAACTGTGCCTCAGTGTAAACTGAAGCTGCCTGCAAGATCTCGCCCAGGAAATGCTGGTATGTGCGTGAGGCGAGAATGTGCCGCTGGGCGCTCAAAGTCAGCGCCTCGCGCTGCACCGAGCTGGACAGGCGCTTCAACGCATCCGAAACGGCATCAGCCGAGTCAGCCTCAACAAAGCCGTTCGAACCAAGGACTTGTCGCAGCTCGTCCGCTGAAGCAGAGTCAGAAATGATGGCGGTGCCTGCCATGACCGCGTGAACGGCTTGGCTCAGGTGCTGATGTGATTGCTGGCCGACGACCAGCCCTGTTTGGAACTGCCGCAACGTAGAATTCGTCTCTTGTTGCAACGGCAGAGGGTGCAGCGCCGTCACCAACTCTTTCGGCACGACCGCAGTTGCATCGCCAAAAATCACCAGACCATGCTCCACGGCTGGAGCAAGCAAGGCGGTCGTGCTTGAGGGATACCCTTGCAAGGAAGCTTCAGGCCCAAAGAAGACGCTCTTGCCAAGCTTTGGACGCCGAGAGCCGGTCGGGTTGTGCACAAGGTGCTGAATCGGGTGCCACGCTCGGTGCACCGAGACCTCAGATGCTTTCAGCAGCGTGGCGTACTCGGCTTCAAGGAGCTTGGTCGTGACAAAAACTGCACTCGCCATTTCCAGAGTCTTTTGATGGGGTTGAACGGTCGGCAGCAGCGATTCGGCCGATGCACGAGCGTCCCAAAACACGAACGGCACGTGCATGTCGTGTGCCATCAAAACAAGTTCGTTGATGTCGGCACCAAACGCCTCGAGCGGGTCCTCCAAGTCATCCGCAGCAACCAGCAGCAAGTCGAACTGGACATTTTTGAACAGCTTGCGCCAACTTGCTTTGGTCAGCGGGACAACCTGGCTGTACGATGCGATAGCCGACTTGAGCTCAGAGCTCATCCACACTGCAATGTTCACCTTGAGCGGGTTTAGCGGGGCGATGGGCTGCCGCAGCATCGGAGTGGCCTTGATCATCTCCAAACCAAAGTTGGCCTGCCATTCCGTCTCTGACGCGACAACGGTCGGGACGCCGGGTGGCAGCATCATGCCAAAAGCCGCATGCATGCATTGCTGCAGCGCAAATCGGTTGTTCGCTTCTTGAAGATAGGGTGTGACAGTGGACGCAATCAGTCGAGCTCGTTTCGCGCCCTTGACCGCCATGAAGCTGGCATCCATTTGGAGAATCTGCTGCGCAGCTTCTTTCGGTGTATTAAAGTGCAGAGCGGTCGGGTAGATGTGCTCCGAGCCGTTCCAATTGCGCACAACGGGAATACATCCAGCCCCCATGCCCTCTGCAACAGCCTGATGACTGCCCTCGTAGTCGGAGGTTGACAAAATGTAGCCAACATTCTCAAACCATTCGGGTGCAGATACATGGGTGGTCGAATACTGCACAGCCTTATCCAATCCGAGCTGCGTGATGTTCTTGGCCAAGTTGGTGTAGAAGGCGAGTTCCTCGGGTCGCCTCATGAGCCAGTCGAACGAGTAGGGGCTCGAGCCGGCCACCATCAAAGTCCAGGTCGGATCAGTCTGGCGCAACTCGACGAGGATTTCGACCGCCAAGTCAGCTCGCTTCATAAGAGGCACATAGCCAAGCAGACCGAGAGTCCGCAAAGCGCGGCTGGTTTTGGGACGAAGAAAGCCTTCGGTGTCGACGGAGTTGTACACCAATTCGACCTGGACGGTGGCATTGGCAGGCAGCCACTGCTTTGCAGAGGCGTAAATCCAGGGAGTAATCACAATCAAGCGGTCGACGCGGGACCAGTTGACAATGGGGATGAACTTGGTGACCAATTCCTGACGGTGAAGACGAACAACCAAAGTCTTGTGCAGGGCCAAGTTGTCGGCATACCAGACGGCATTGCCAAGTGCCCATTCGCACCAGACGACATCCGCCCACTCGGCGAGCTCCTTGCTCCGAGTTTCGTTGTGTTTGGTGTGTGATTTCCACATGTCCAGTTCCACCTCGACGTCGCTGCGCGCGCGAAACTGCTCAATGATTTGGGTTGCAAACTTCAAGTCGTGCCCTGCAAAAAGAACGCGAATGCGCCGGTGGAGCAGTGTTGGTGCTTCTGGAGCCGAGAGAGCAGCAGAAAGTTGCGAACGGTAAGGATTGACCATGCCGAAAACGGTGGTTGCGACAGACGAGAAAAAGAACGGCTCGGCGCGCTTTCGCACATGCGCGGACATTTCGGCAAGAAGGTGGCGATTCGCAACCATTTGTCCCATTGCGACAGACAAGGTTTGAACATCAATCTCGCTAAACTCGACTTGTCCCTCGGGAAGCGGGTCAGTCAAAACCGGGCCGCCATCGACGGTCAGGAAGAACGGGTAGTCGACTCCCAAGAAGCTCTCGGTAGCCGGCGAGCGATTCACAAGCACAGGGAGACCGTTGGCTGCGTACTCGATCAGCTTGGTGGACAGCTCGTGGCCAGAGTCGTGCCGCATCCAACGAAGGCCGACATCGCACTCTGTTCGCAAAATGCGCGCAACTTCGGTTCGGACAAGTCCCGACCTGACCTCAATGTGTGGAGCGGCAGCATCCATGCGGTCGGAGAGCTGCTGTTGGAATGCGGCGTCGCCCTTCACCTTGCTCACCATCAGGAGCATTGAGACCTTGGTGGTCGGATTTTGACGCAAAAACTCTTGAAAGCCTGCGACCAGCTCGAGCGACATGTACAGCGAGTCTGCCTTGCCAGAATAGCAAAACTTCAACGGCCTGTCGGTTGACTGCAGGTCGGCGCGCGAGGTCATGGCGACGCTAGGATCGGGGACCATCGGTGGGATGACAACAGAGCCATGAGGAACACCATAATTCTCCTCTGAGAATTCCCGCATGTGCGGAGTCGAGAAAACCAAACGGGCAGGCGACTGGACAATTTCGCGGAGTTGCGCAACCTGCTCTTCTTTGATGTCGCTCACAAAGACGACAGATGTGCGGCGCGCCATGTTGGGCTCTCGTGCCAGCAGCTGCCCAACGTCCAGGCCGCGGACGAGGATGAGATTGTACTCTTCGCGAGCGTCAAGAGCGCGGATGACCTGCATCGCTCGCGCAGGTGTCAGCCGTGGTACTTTTGCAGCCATTGTTTGACCACCCATGTGCGCAGGGTTCCAGGCGTCCATCAGGCGAATGCGCCCCTGTTTGAGGAGAGGCTGCAGCGTGGTAGCGACAGGAGAATTGTCAATGAGCGAGTTCAAGTGCGTGTATGGCTGAAGGGGTGTCGTGTCGACGTACGAGCCTTCGCCCACAGTCTGGTTGACTGCTTGGGCTTCTCGCATCGCCTTGGTCGTGACCAGCGGGTTGGTCAGGAGAATGTCGACATGGACGTCGCAATTCGGTGGCATCAGGAGCACGGTAGCGAGAGAGACCAGCCACGCGCTCGAGCCGTCAATCCAACTGACGCTGACTGGGCCGAACAGCAAGACATGGGTGCGTTGTTGCTTGGAATGGAACGACTCCCACGGCGGGCAGGTCCTTGGCAAGGATGTGGCATCGCGAGGTCCTGGCGGTGAGGCGATTGGCTCCTTCCAGAAGAGCGGCTTCATCGATTCGACAACCTGGTCGTCGTCTGCCGAGGACCGAACCGAGCGGCTGGACTCGAGCCACTCGGGAAGCGTCTGGTTGACATCTTGCAACCACGGAGCGGAAGCATGCCACGTTTCGACCGAAGCAAGCAAAGTTGCAATCGAGGGCAACGGAAGCACGGATTCGGATTCGGACTCGGACTCGGATTCAGGCATCGTGTTTGCGCTGTATTCCTCAACCAAGATCGCAGGCACTTCTTCGAGCTTGACATTGTCTTCCAACGATTTTTCTGACATTTCCGACTTGACAACTCGCAACGTATCCTTGACAACCGTGTCCCGATCTGGGTTTGACCCCACACGCTGAGAATCGGGTGTGAGGCGCTTCCCTGCCTGGTCACCCGATTGCGCTGCATCAACGTCGCCATTTTTCGGGGGGACTTGGGCTGGGACTGGACCAACGACGGGAGCAACGACGGGAGCAACAACCGAGACTGCCGGATTGGGATTGACAGCCGTGTGGTGGTTCGATGGATTGGCGACATCGGGCTTTGCTGCGGCGACCGGTTCCTCCAGATCGACATCGACTGCTGGATCCTGGCGAGGCAACGTATTGTTCAGGACACCAGGAGGCGCGCGTCGCGGGTGTGCGTTGGGCACAAGCTGCGGGGCGCGGCGCCCTTCAAACTCATCAGCAGAAAGGCTTGTTGCATTCCCTCCCATCGTGCCGCTGCCTGTTGACGCGTTGTTGCCGCCAAAGCAAGCACAAGGGTTGCGGAAGCACAGTGAGTGAATATTCAAGTCGGTGGAAGAAAGAGAGCGAGAGAGGCCACGAAGGCAAAGGGAAGGGCGGGACGAGGCGACCTGTCAAACCACTCTTGTCAAAACCCCCCTCCCTCCCTCGCATGAACGCGCAGCGCAGGCGTTTGGTCTCCGCGCACCAGCAAAGACAAGTAGCACAGGAGTACAAGTACGTACCATGGTCAGCAACCTGCCACTCTGGAGCCTTGGGCACAAGGAGGTAGAGCGAAAGGAGGAAAATGAGGACGATCACAGCAACCCTGCCACGCCGACCAAAGTGGATGCGTCGCGGTAGAGTCCATCGCAGCCATGTGCTAAAATACGATTGACTCGCTTGTGCGTGGCTGGCTGCATCGAACGGAAGCAGAGGCCGCGCTGAAGTCATTGCGTTTTCCACTGGTTTTTTTTTTTTGTTTGACAGCACGCACGTGCCAGAAAAGGCAAGAGAAACCTCAAAGAGACTGACTGGCAACAAGCAATAAAAACATTTGGAAGGCAAGCAAAGCAGCGCCCCATTGGGCGATCATGGCCGAGGTAGATGGCGCACAATGTGGAGAATGCTCGTCTTCGAGGCCACTGCCAAAATAAAATGCATAATTTTCAATCATCTATTCTAGATCTACAATGGTTGCCAGGTGCACGCGACTGAAATAATAAAACAATGCATTTTGCTCTTTCATCCCTTGATCACGGCAATCGGACGAAGCTTGATGGCCTTCTTGCTGATGCCTGCTTGGTGGCAGGTCTCCACGACGTCAATCACATCCTTGTAAGACTCGGGAGCCTGCATTCAACAGAGTGAGCGAGTGCGAGTTTGGAGCAAAGTCTCGTCATAAAAAAAAGCCCGATACACACCTCTTCGGTCACGAGCTTGGGTGATGCCACGCGAATGGAAATGCCCTTCTGAGCAAGGCTATCCAGTACGTCTTGATAGTCGAGGGTGCGTCTACACACACCACAAACAGCGAGGAGAACACAGGCGCGGAAACAGAAACCAAAAAGTCAGCTTTATCGCTTCATCGAGCCGAATCATTGTTGAACAAGCACCACAAAATCCTCAAAATATCCGAAACTCACCGAGACTTGTTGCGTGACTGAGCGCGGCCCTGTCAAAGCAAATCACAAGACCACAAGATACAAAATGAGCGTCAAGTCAGGGCAAACTTCCATACGTCCATGATGACTGGGCCTCACAGCGCCATGGCAGGTCGAACCAAACGTTTCAAGCATGCCCTTCTCGGTGCCCGTCAGGACGAACGAGCAAGTACCCATGGTTCCACCAATCAAAACGGGCTGGCCAATGAGCTGATAGTCAACTATGGCAACCGAACGAGAAACCCCAAAAACAAAACAAAAAACAAAACAAAAAACAAAACAAAAAGCAAAACCAGAAAAAATAACAAACGAACAAAAACAGAAAAAATAAAAAATCAGTAAACCCGCAGACACAACAAACAAAAAAAAACCCTTGCTCTCATAGTCACTGCTACAAAATTCATACCCGGAATGAGCGGATGATGGGGAGGGAACGCGCGGGTTGAGCCCTTGCGGTGCACAAGTAGAGTAACTGTCTCTAAATCCGGACGCATTACAGACCTCAAAAGTTGCATTTTAATCCGGATGAGGCGTTTTTCTCGCAGTCTATTCATTGCTTCGCCTCGGCTCTTTCACCATTGTACATAAATCGAGTTGGTTATCACATGGAACGTCTTGTTGAGGTGCCTGCGCTCGTCGCGGGGTGGTTTGGGCGACTCGCCAAAACGGCTGGAAAAAACCGACGGCTGATCGCCATCGCCATCGCCCGTCGCACGAAAGGTAAACTCTGCCTGATTTTTGTATTTTTTATTGAATAAAATGGTTTGATATGTCATATACTCCATCAATCTAGCTCAAAGAGCGATTCGCAGCCGGACGGGAGCTCAGGATGGATTGGCTGCAAAAGTGGTGTTCGAGCGTCTCCTCCATTCCCACGCTCGTGTCGACCGCACCTCCGCGCCCGCTTGGTCACGATAACACGTATCGTGTGTAGACTGCATTTGGCTCGCGGAAGGCGGGCTGGCGATGTCACAGAGCCCACAGGGCGCGTTTGCGATCAACCTCGTGGCGGCCTGCATTTTAATCCGGATGCATTGGATTTTGGCTGGATCCGCTTTTTCGTCATTTTTTCGTTTTTCGCGTGCCTAGCGATGAGTTCGGGCCAAAGCGCCCCGCTACTTCACCCACACATTGGTATTGATGCATTGTTTGACACAGGGGGGCAAGGTGCGAGCGGAAGCTTGCACACAGGCCGTAGGAGGCGCCATCCGGATTTAGAGACCGTCACTCTAGCTGCTTGAGCTTGCCGTCGACCATGTGCTCTTCGACCTTGGCAATGTTGTGCGAGACATCGTAAATGACATGCATGTCCAGATCGTCGGGAGTCGAGTTGAAAATCTTGGCAAAGGCCTGGCGAGTCAGGAAGGTCATGCTGCTGCGGTTGACCCAAGCGTAGTTGGCGGCTGCGGCCATGCCCTGGAGATAGTGCTGCCCTTCCTTGGACTGGATTCGGGCGCACGCAAGCTGACGGTCGTTGACCTCGATGCCATCACGGCGCATAGCCTTCTCCATCGAAACGAGCGAATCGGTGGCCACCTGGTGGCCAAGGCCTCGCGAGCCGGAATGCACCATGATGCACACTTGACCCTTCTGGTCGATACCCATCTTGCGGGCGGCGTGCGCATCGTAAATCTCGTCCACAACCTGGATTTCGCAGTAGTGGTTGCCAGCACCGAGCGTTCCCAGCTGCGGCAAGCCACGCTTCTTGGCGCGTTGACTGACCATGGCCGGGTTGGCCTGCAGCATGCGACCGTACTCTTCGCAATGCTCCTTGTCTTCAGCCCATGCGTAGCCTGTGGGAAAGGAGGAGGCGAAGGACATGAAAGCAAGACACAATTCGTTTGATATCCGTGCGTGAGGCTTTTTGCGGCATTGGTATTTTGCAAAGTCAAACACTCGATCGAAAACCATACCCTCTCGAAGCGACCAATCCATGCCCATTTCAAGAGCCTCCTCCAGGTTGTGCATGGTCATCGGAATCACACCCTTTGAACCAACGCCGACTGGAATGTGATCAAACAGCGCCTGCGCCAGCTCTTCCTTGACAGGCCCGACCTCCTTCTCGGTCAGGTTTGTTCGAATGAGCCGAACGCCGCAGTTGATGTCAAATCCGACGCCACCTGAACGCGCGGCCGAGATGTGATGAAAAGTTGAAAACCCAAAAAACAAAAAAATTCGATGTGAGCGTCGAGCAATCATGAACAATCCGATATGCCACGGGCAAAATCGCTCACTACATCCATGACAAACAGTGGATGCGAGTCTGAGGGATGTGCTTCATCATTGTGTGTACCTGGCGAGACGATAGCCTCCGGGTCGTTCATGTCGAAAGCAGCCATATTGCCGATCGCAAACCCGTAGCCCGAGTGGATGTCTGGCAGGCCAATGGAACGCTGTCGGAAGTGTCGTCGTTCAAGCACAAGGATCAGCGACGGACGAGCGGAGGGCAGGGGACGGAACGGTGAGCAAACATCCCAATGCAAACCCAATACAAACTTTTGCTTTTGTTGCCCATGCCCATGCCCATGCAACTCTCTCTTTCGTGCCCGTACCCCAACAATGCCTGGCAGTGCAGCGACGTTGGCAATCTGCTTGACTGCAGGGAGGAAGCCACCGACGCCGCGGCTGTCTGAGAACTGCTGGAGCTCGTCGAACATGAGCTCCTGCAGATGCTGGTTGACGTAAAAGCAGCCATCGACCTGAGCGAGCGCAAAGCATGCATAGACAACAAGAAGAAGGGGGGGGGTTATTGATGAGTTTCAGAACCAGGAGCTGACTTTCGATCAGAGTGCGCGCGGACTGCTTCGACTTGAAGCCGGGAACCAGAGCCGCCTTTTACGCAATCCGGCTCTCGTTGCGTCATCATCCCGGCCGTGCTGATTGTCTGACTGTATGGTTGTTGTGATTACTACCTTCATGTTGTGAACAAAGCCCTTCTTGATGCGGAACTGGGTGGGCGACACGCGCTCAATGTACTTGCACTCGTCTTCGTAGGAGCGCAGAATGCCAGACGCGGCTGAAGTGGAGGGCATGTCGTCGCTCAGCATGGCTCTGGTATTGTACAAGATGGATTACACAACGACGACAACGACAACAAAAGCAACAGCAAATAATAATAAAAAAGGACTGAAATTAAACGAAAAGAGCAGAAATCCAAAGATCGTCTCTGAGAGTGGGGGCACCAAGTCTCAGAGCCATGATTTTGATTGTCCGTGGTGCTGGTTGGATCCTCATCCATTCATCGTTGTCTGAGCCTCCAGATCTACTGTAGTTAGTTTCATCAGTTGCATCCACTCTTTTTGTTGCCTTTCCCCGTTAGCAATCTGACAAACTTCGATTCAAAGCGTGTTTGACGGAGACGTAACTTGTTTTTTGAAATTTCGAATGTCGCGAAGGCCGTTCGGTAGCAGTGCCCATAGCGGCGGATTTGGAAGCCATATGAGCCGAGCCGCGCCTGAGGCTGTGATGCTGCAGCAACAGCAAGGGGAGAACCCCATGGCACCGGCAATGCTGGGTGGCGGGCTGCTGCCGAGCAAGTCGTCGTCGGCGTCGGCGTCCTCGCGGCTTGGCAATGCCGGTGGCAGTGGGATGCTTGGATCTGGCTTCCCCGTGGCCAAGCAGATGGGCGGCGGCGGCGGTAGCGGCGGCGGAGGCAGCGCAGGGCCTCGTACGGTGTTTGGCAATGTTTCAAACGCTCAAAACGGTTTCAAAGCATCGACAAACCCGGCATCCGCCAAGCACAGCAACAAGAGCGCAGGCGCACGGCCGTCGCTGTTCATGGGCGCACCGCTCATGCAAACAGCAGCGGCGGCAGCGCGACACCCGCGGGAAGAGCTCATTGAGCGCGAGTACATGGCGCCGCCAATGGAAGGTGAAACAAACTGCTCCAGTTGGGGTTTGTTTTTTTTTTTTTTTTTTTTTTTTTTTTTTTGCTTTGACCTTGCATTGCGTTTTTGGTCTTCTTTGCCTTCTATTGTTTGCATTGGAATCATGCAGGTCCTCGTGTTTGCTGATTGCGGGGGGGGGGAGGCTGCGTTGGATGCCCTTGGACGGACTTTGCTCTCACTTTTGAATATTTCGGACGCAACACAACAGATCTGCCATACGAACCGTACGATTTAGGATTTGATTCATATTTTCGCGCCATGCCGCAGCCGCAACGACGTGCGGGGGCGTCCACGACACTAGTTACATCATCTTCATTATCCAGTTCACTCGATGTAGACGCGCTTGCAGATTTCGGTAGGTGACAAGCGAGAACAGGAAGCCTTTGTTTCAAGGACATTCCACTCATCATTGCTCGTTTGCCCCTTTTAGACCCCTTTGCCGATATGGACATGCCAAAGGACGCTGATTTTGTAGAGGAGCCACTTTCGCCAATGGAGATGCCAGCCGATGACGAGGGTCAATGGTGATTGACAAGTTTTGCTTCAAGTTACATCTCCATTTGTTTTGTTTGTTTCTCTTCTACTCCTCTTATCTCTCTCTCTCCCTCTCCCCCCCCCCGCGTGTTGCAAGCACGTTGATTGTCTCTCGCACCCTCTTGAAGGAGTTTTCAAGTGTGTCGTGAGGCTGAATTGTCTGTGTATAGAAGCCAAAAATTAAGGACGATTGATTTACCACAACTACGATTTTCTTTTTTCTCACACTCTCTCTCTCCCTCCCTGTGTATTTCCTTGCCTGTTGTCTGGGGAAGTGCAGTACTTTAATTGGCCACAACATCAACCCACAAGTTTCAACCAAGCGTAGAGCAACGACAAAAACAAAAAACTGCAGACACACGGTGACAGATCAACCACGCTGAATGGCGCAGCGCCCTGTCCGAAGCAGATTCAAATAAATTTTTGACTTGGTATTATCGGGACGACGCACCCAGATCTATCAGAGAACGGTACAAGTGGTGTAAGCATGCAGTTGATCGAAAAAGAAAAACGAGTGGTCAAACATTTCGACGAGTGACTAGGTTTGGTGGTTACCTCTTGTTGAGTAATGCTTGCAATCACACCAGAGTATACTTCGGTATTATCCCGAGGATCGACCCAGATGACTTGCCCTTTCTCGAACGGCTCTTCGTTGACCACGAGCTGATTGTTGGCGACATAGACCTCCACCTCGCCTGCAGAAAAATCCCCCTCCCCGAAAAAAGTGAGCAACAGTGCAACAGCCCAACAGCCCAACAGCGAAAAAAAAACGACTGCATCTTGCGATATGGACGCACCTTGCTTTGAGCCAGGCCCAAACGCACCATCCTTTCGTCGGCCACCCATCATACCGGCAGGCGGCATAGCTTGTGCCGGGTTCATGCCATAGCCCATGCCGGGTGGGGCACCAACGGGAACACCCACACCCGGAGGCAAAACAGCGCCTCCCACGCCGCCAGGGCCAGCACCTGGCATTCCCATCGGCATGCCTGGATGAGCGCCCATCGGCATGCCCATCCCACCGGGTGGATAGCCCATGAACATCATCCCAGGGTGCTGCTGACCCATCACAGTCGGTGGTCCAGCCATGCCGGGAGGAAGGGCGCCGGGATTGCCGCCTGCATGGTTTTTCTGGGTCACTCGTCGAATGGCGTTCAAATCGTCGTTGATTTCGCCGTCGTCGAGCAGGTGCACGATCGGGGGTCCAGTAGCTGTGGCATTCTTGCGCTTCTTTTCAATCTGGGTCACGCCGGGCTCCTTGACCGCCTCGACGCGTCGTCGCAGCTTGCGTGTGGCCATGGCGCGTGTTTCTAGCTCGCTTGCCAAGTCCATGGCGTTCTTGTCTTCTTCGAGTTTCTTGCGTTTGTCTTGCAGCGATCCCAGAATGTCATCTCGGATTTCACCGCGTTTGGTCTAGCGTTTCAGCAGGAACGGCAAAGCGCGCAAAACAGTCAGGATCGATCTTCGAAAAAAAAAAAAAAAGCACAAACACAAAGTGTCACCCGTCATTACCTGATACTCGTTCTCGATTTCCCGCTTTTCGAAGGCGTGCTGGTGCTGAATGTTTTCTAATTGCAGTTTTCGGTACAGCTCAATTGTGGTCAAGCGGTCTGTCTTTTTACGCTCCAGCATGGCGGCCTGCTTTTGAAAATCAGGATGTTCGTCTGTGACACACGACAAAAAAAGCAGATTGTTGTGACAAAGTGAGCGAGACCAGCCCATCGGACCAACAAATCAACCAATCGGCGTCGAATCAGTGCAGGAAGGAAGGAAAGCAAATCGATTACCGCTGTTGAGCAATTCGAGCTCCTTGTTCAGCTGGCCGAGCTTTTCTTGGTACAAGCTGCGATTGAGTTTTTTCGTGCGCCAGGGTTTGAGCAATGTTCACAAGTTAGAGTCGCGCATGCAACCAAAAAGGCTCAAAAACTTCAAAAGCATCACAAAAACTCACCGATCACGCAGGTCGGCAAACTCGCGCTCGATGCGCGCCATGTTCTCGAGCAGCAGGTCCTTCTTGCGCTTGTCGCCGACGGGGTCGTCTTCTGTGTCGTCGTCGTCTGTCAGGAGCAAGGAGGGAAATGTCGCAACATGATGAGTGGAGACGTCGGGAAAAAAAAAAAAAAAAAAAAAAAAAAGGCGGCTGGAACACATGAACAATCCAAAAAGCCGTTTTGTGTGAGAGCGGCGATGTCGTTCCCCGCGCAGTCCAGTGCCAGCCTGCATTCGTCCAAGAAGCGGGGGGGGGCCTTTGTTGGACACGAGCAAACGACCCCCCCCCCCTCCGACGCGCTGTCTCTCTCTCTCTTTGGCTCTCTCGTTGCCTCTTCCGCTTGCTAGCAATGCCAACCAGAAAACAAAAAAGAAGGTCATCTTTTTTTTTTTTTTTTTTTTTTTTTTTTTGGCGTTTTGCAAGGTAGAGTCCCCGCTCTCTCTCTCTCTCTCTCTCTCTCCCAGCATCGCCCGCGTCACGCCAGCCACTCGCCTGCGTTTCATCGAGCATGAAATCAACCGCAAACAGCCACCGTCGCAGGCTCGACCAAGCGTCCTCTCGCTCAGTCCGACTTTGGGAGGAACGCCCGTTAAATTCAACTCCAAAAAAAAAAAAAAAAAAAAAAAAAAAAAAAAAAAAAAAGGCTTTGCTCTCACACACACACTCTCTCTCTCTCGCTCTCTCTCTCTCTCTCTCTATTGAGCGTTCGAGCAGTCGCACTCTGCACAGTGCTTGTGGGGGGACCCATCATGAGAAGAGAAGCCGACAGAGAAAGACGATGGCTCGAGTGAAGCGACGTGAGGGGAGTGTTCTGTACCAGCGTCGCTCTCCGAGAAGGAAGCCGCAGCAGTGTCTTCGTCGATCGCCATTGCCTGAGCGGCGCGCTCTGCAACGACTTCGCTCATCGTGTCCAGAACAACCCCTCAAAGTGAAGCTGAATCAAAGAACTCGGGAATAACAAAAGGAACAAAGAAAACGAAAGAAGGCAAGAAAAACAAAAAAAAGTAAGAGTGACTGAAAAACGAGTAAGGAAACAAATGAAAAAACCACACCGGGGTCCACTGTCATCAGCAGCAGCAGCGATCAAGCAAGAAGACCGCTCGCCGTTGGAAATCAACGCCAAACACAGCGTTCCATCACACTGGTTCGTCAAAAGGCCGAAACTTTCCATTCATTCAATGCCCCAATCGTTGCTCCGTTCAGATCCAATTCTATCGACTCTCATTTCTCTTTTTTTTCTCTCCCTCTTTTTTTTTTTTCTTCATTCAGTGCTTTATTTTTCCCCCATTTAGCTTGCTCTAGTTGCTTGGTGGACCGTCGGATGGCTGCTGAGATGGCGGGAGAGGAGAGTGCATCCAGCGCTCAGGCACTGCCCATCGGCGGCAAAGCGACCCCGTCCGCCCCGTCCTCCGCCACCACTGCCAGCGAAGGTGGTCCTCAGAAGTACGGCCGCCCGCTCGTCGAGGTCTACGGCCTTGCGTTGCAGTTCCTGCGTCAAAGTAAGTCTGTGTACCAAACACAAAAGAAAAAAAAAAAAAAAAAAACGGGAAAAACCGTTTTGGCTGGGCTTTTTGATAGGACGCGGATTTGAAAAGGCGAGCCGAGCGCCTTCGGACTGTGCTGGCGACGCGTCGAGTCCCGATTTTGCGCCATTGCTTTGCTTGCTGGTACATCTCGCGTAGTGTGATAACGTACTCCGGGTCGTTGTGGAGTCGAAACGCGCGGCTGTTCTGTTCGTTCAGTTCCAGTCTCTGGCACTCGTGCTTCTTTGCTGCCGTTTCCGCATCACGAGCGCAACGAGACCAGTGCCTCGGCCGGTGCCTCTGTCATCGCCCTCGCTTTTGTGTCTGGGTTACAGCTCGCGCGTTGGGTGGTCTGTGTTTGGGAAAGAGGCGAGCAACTTGCGTTGGAGATCCAGTTTGCCACGCATTCACTACAGGGCCTTTTTTTTTTTTTTTTTTTTTTTTTTTGATTCTTCAATGCACTTGTATTGAACGCTTCATTTTGCTTCGGTGGTCGTCATTTCATGCTGTCGTTCTGCATCTGAATCTTACTCAATTATTGTTTTTCGTGTTTGTCTTGTTTTTGTAGATAGCCAATCCTTCCTTGTCGCGCTGCCGTATGCCGAGAAAAACGCGCTGTTTGCATACAGAAAGCAAGTCCAGCACGGCACATACGCCCCCGAGAAGATGCCCGACGTTGGCTTTTTCGATTTCGTCGGCAAAGATCAGAGGTAATTTGAAGGCTAGGATCAATCAAAGCATTCTGTGGCGAATGCTGTCTGGTTTTGACTTTTGTCGGGCGTTTTGCTCGTCGTCTGCCTTCCCGTACTGATTTTCCTCTTTCCCGATGTGGTCCACTCTTCTACAGAAATGCATGGCAAGCCCTGGGCAACATCTCGCGAGAGGAGGCCATGGCAGGCGTCATTCAGATTCTGGCAGACTCCGACTCGTGGACGCAGTTTGTCACTGAGGCGATCGCCGCCAAGGTCGAAGAGGAGCGGAAAGCGCGAGAGCAGGCAGAGGCAGAGGCCCGCGAGCTTGCTCGTCAACAAGAGGAGGAGCGTCTGAAGCGAGAGGAGGCCGTGCGACAGCAACAGCGCCTTGAACAGCTGCAGCAACAGCAAGCCGAATTGCAGCAACAACAACTAAAGCAACAGCAATTACAACAGCAGCAACAACAGCAGCAACAATACTCACACCCACATCCTTCACAACAGGCTTCAGGCCATCACGGACATTCCCACGACGGCGACCACCACGGACACTCGCACGACGGCGAGCACGCACACTCGCATGACCTAGTCCATGATCATGCGCATCAGACTGCAGAGACGTTGGATGCGGCTGGCGAAAAGCTGGCTGCGCACCAGCGCTTCGTTGAGGCTGTCCGAGGCGACCCAGATTCCGTCCTCGTGATTGGTCGAGGCGAGACTGCCACCGTTCGGCTGACGGTCGGTAGCGATGCACCTTCCACGCCCTCGCCCTCGGCCGTCAATGGCAATGCTGTTGTGTCGACCATCGCCCCTGCGGATGCGGCCAACTCCTCCAACGGATCCGACGTCCCTCCCCCGGTTCCCAAGAAATGGCACACCACCTGGGAGTTTGCGACCGAATCCTACGACATTGGCTTTGGCGTCACGTTCGAGACCAACTCGTTCTCCCACACGGCAGTCACACCCATCTTGCCAACGCTGCGATCAGAGTCCAACCTGCAAGTCGTGCGCGGTGCGCATACGACTGATCTCCCCGGCGTGTATTTATTCAAATTCGACAACTCGTTCTCCGTATTTCGTTCCAAGACTCTTTATTTCCGGCTGTACACGCAGCCATTATATGCGTGAGCTGCTTGCTTTTTGATGAGGTTTTTGTGTGTGTTGATTGTTTGGCTTGAACGGTGTTTTTTTTGGCGCTCTGTTTCCTCTCGCAAGGACCCTTTCTTTTGCCTTCCCAATCAACTGAGGAGGAAAAACTGAATCGATGATACTGTATTGCCTGAGATGTTTGTGCTTGTGGTGTTTGAGTTTTTGCAATCGTTGTTTATGACCAAAGCTGATACTTTTTTTTTTGTTTGTTTTTCGTTGCCCAAGAGAGTTGCACATTCGTTCTTGATTGTTCTATTGATCGATACTTGTCATTTGAAGCCGGATCCTTGTGTTGAGTCATAAGTCAGTCCATCTATCTTTTGCTCAGACCAAAAGACCCAAACTCAACATGGCGGACGACGTCGCGGTGGACAGTCCGGGATCGCGCCGCCAACGCAAAGCCAGTGCTACCCCATCGCCCAGCAAGCGCGGTGCAGTTGCTGCTGTGACCGGCGAGCGTGCTGCGACCAGCAGTCCCTCGGCAGTCCTGGCTGAAGCGATTGAGCAATCGCTGCTGATGACGGAAACCGGACGCGATCGCGCGAGTCCAGCACCAGACACTTTGTCGTCCCGCGCTGCTGCTGCCCAGCAGTCATCGCCGAGCTCCAGCTCGCCAGGTGGATCCAAGCGTGGCGGAGGCAAGCGTGCGCAGCAGGGAGCGTCTGCCAGCGGAGCCAACCAGGAATCCTCCGTTGCGGCACCGAGCGTGAACTCAAGCACGGACAACGCACATCGATCGAGTCACAGGCAAGGCCGAGGCAACGACCAGGCGTCGAAGGGTGCAGCTGCACACCAACGAGCTCCGGAGCACACCAAACCCGGCCGAGCCAACCACAACAATCGAAACCAAGCTGCCGTTGCCGCTTCTGCTTCTTCGAGCTCTTCGCCACATCCCGCCGCTGCATCGTCGCAGTCACACTCTCCAGTTTGTCAGTTCTTCCTGACGCCGGCTGGATGCATGAGCGGAGCAGCTTGTGCCTTTTCGCATCAAATGCCTGCGACAGTCTCAGTTGCAGCATCTTCTCCTGCTTCGTCTTCCTCCACGGCAGCACACAACGGCAGGAACTCTACCACTGCAGCAGCTAGTGCGTCAGCCCAAGCTCCGACTGGCTCTGCGGCCGGCACTCGACCTTCGCGAGAACAACGCGCGTCCACTCTACCCGTTTGCCGATTCTTCCGTCAGGGTGAGTGCGCTTCTGGTGCCAACTGCCGCTTTCGACATCCCACGCCCGAGCAGGCTGCTGGGGAACAAGAGGCCAAGGCCGCCACGGCAGCAGCTTCCGAGGAGCCTGCCTCCAGCCAGAAATCTCGGCGCCAAAACCTGTCCAAGCGCTCCGCCGCGACTTCTGCGACCGCCGCCGTTCCCAGCAGCAGCAGCAGCATGACGGCATCAAAGGCACCTGCCACCCCCGAAAACCCCCAAACAGCAGCTCCAGCCCCGCCGCCTACCATCACAGTCGCTGCACTCTTCGATGTGCAGTTGCAACAGCTGCGCGCAGCAGAACTGACTGCGCTCAAGCGTCGCTTCACTTCGGCGCAGCTGCAACCAGACGAGGTTTCGAGCACGACACCAGTCGCCACCATCACGTTTGATGTGGTGCCGACCGACCCCGATTGGCCGTTTGAGGTTGATGCAATCCGTTTGCAGGTGGCGCTTGGTCCTCGGTATCCTCTTTTGCCGCCTGCAATTACGGCGCTGCCCACCCAGACCATGCCCGAGCGTTTTGTCGGATTTCTGAATCGGCTGCTGGTTGCGCCGATTGCGGAGCAACACCAACTCGTGCTCTCAAGCAAGTTTGTGCAGCCTGCATCGGGTGCCGCGCCTGACGTGCAGTCTCAGACACCGTTGCTCATGATTCGCCCGTTTCTCAAGTGGCTGGACAAGAACCTCGAGCGCCTGTTTGTCGAGGCCGGACGCCAAATGCGGCGCGATGACGAGATTCAGAAGACGCTGAAATTCGTGAGTGCCACAGAGCTGAGAACCAAAGTCTATGGCTCTGAAGAAGCCGCAGCCGAACCAACCCCTCCTCGCACAATCAACAACGGACCCAGTAACAGTAACGCGGGTGCTGCATCCGTTGCCAGCAACGCGATTTCGTCTGGTTCAAACGCTGCAAAGGTGACTGCCACATCCAAGCCGCCCGAACAAGAGCGATTCAACTCGAACGACGTCTTTGCCGGCGTGGACAGCGACGACGACGACAGCGACGACAGCGACGACGACAGCAATTTGGATGACGTGAGCGACGATGCAGCAGACTCTGGCGAGGACAATGCGGAATCGGGCGAGGACCAAACAGACGAGTTCGCGTCGGCCATGCCACAACTCTCGGCCATGGCTGCTGCTGCGGCGCCGAAAGGCACGGAAGTTCGGCTGACAAGCTTGCAGATGACCAACATTGCCCTCTTGCGCGTCGAGCTGCTGCATCTGAGTTTACAGTGCTCCCGATGCAAGGCCAGCCTCGACATCAAACTGCGACCACTCTCCTCGCCGGCAGGTGAATGTGAGCGGTGTCGGTCGGCATTCAGCGTGCATCTTCGGCCAGCCATCGTGCACGCAGCATCGCCCGCACTCGGCTACCTCGAAATGGCGGGCTGCTCTGCCGTGGACGTCGTTTCGCACGATTCTGAGGTCACCTTCCAATGCCTCGCTTGCATGAACGAGTCGACCATTCGACAGTCCCCGTTCGTGCTCGGCGAAACGCGCACGCATCCCTGCCGCCACTGCCACGAAAGCATGTCCGTCGCGTTGACGAGCATCACGTTTGTTCGGCACTTGGAAGGCAGCGACGCTGCTGGAACCAGCAATGACGCGACTGGCGGCAAGTCTGCCTCTGGCGTGACCAACATGGGCAAGCGACTGCTCACCTCCAAGCGTCCGCGCCCCGTCAAGGATCCCAACATCAAACCCGGCTCTCCCTTGCCGGACTTTGGAACGTGTGCCCACTACAAGAAGTCCTACCGTTGGGTGCGATTCCCGTGCTGTGGTCGAGCGTTCGCGTGCGACATTTGCCACAACGAGAACACGCCGGACGGTCATCATCCGCAATGGGCCACCCGCATGATTTGCGGCTTTTGCTCCAAGGAACAAAACTTTGCGGCACACAAGCCATGCAGCTGCGGCAAAGCCTTGACGGCCGATACATCCACCCGGTACTGGGAGGGTGGCGAAGGCTGCCGCAACAAAAAGTCCATGTCACGCAAGGACAAGCACAAGTTTTCCGACTCCAAGCTGAAAACACACTCACGCAAGGCCGATCGAGTGGGTCCGAAGAAAGCCGGAAAGAACGACGAAAAGGGCGGCGACAGCGACAGCGACTGATCTGTTGCATTGTACTGTAGATCTAAATGATTAACGACAGAAAGTAATACCGTCAAAATGTGCAAGTTGTGCGTGTTGGTTTTCATCATTTCTTTGTTTACAAAGCGCACGCAAGTGGCCGAGAAAGGGGGAAAAGGGGAGAGGAAGATAGGAATCGAGTGCAACGAACAAACAGAACAGGAGAAACCCTTAGAGGTACAAGCCCTCTGGGTGTCCCTCGTTCTTTCGGTAAAGCACATTCTCCTTCGACTTGCGGAAGTCCTCCAGCGTAACCTTCATACGTCGCTCACGAAGAGCCAGGAGACCAGCTTCAGTGCAGATAGCCTGTCCAAAAAGTCCCAAGAGGTTAGTCGCAGCCAAAGTCAAACAACAAACAAAAAAAAAACAAAAAAAAAAAAACAGATCCAAAGTATTACCTTGATGTCAGCGCCAGACAAATCGTCCTTGGCAGAGATGAGCTCTTCAAATGTGACGTCCGCATTCAAAGTCATGCGGCCAGTGTGAATGGAGAAGATGCGACGCTTGGTCTTTTCGTCTGGCAATGGGAATTCAATCTTGCGATCAATACGGCCTGTGGGAGAGGAGAGAAATCACAACAAACAATGAGCTCGAGTCAAAGCACCGCCTTGCTGCAATGCAGCCATCAAGAGAGCAACAGAAAAAGCAGAGCAACAGAAAAAGCAGAGACAAACAAAGAACCGACATACCTGGACGAATCAGAGCAGGATCGAGTGAATCGATACGGTTTGTCGCCATAATGACCTTGACGTCGCCTCGAGTGTCGAAACCGTCCAATTGGTTGAGCAGCTCGAGCATGGTGCGTTGGATTTCGCGCTCGCCGCCAGAGTTTGAGTCGTAACGCTTGGTACCCACGGCATCAATTTCGTCAATAAAGACAATGGAAGGTGCGTGCTCTTCGGCGACACGGAAGAGCTCACGAACGAGCTTGGGACCGTCACCAAGGTATTTTTGGATGAGCTCCGAGCCGACGACGCGCAAAAAGGTGGCAGATGTTTGGTTGGCGACGGCCTTGGCGAGCAGTGTCTTGCCGGTGCCAGGAGGACCGTACAGGATGACGCCTTTTGGCGGCTTGATGCCCATTTCTTCGTACAGCTCGGGATGTGTCAAGGGAAGCTCGACAGACTCTTTGATCTCCTGAATTTGCGAATCAAGACCACCAATGTCGGCGTACGTCTCGCGCGGCGCCTTCTCAATCTTCATAACGTTGACCATGGGGTCGGCGTCATCAGCAAGAACACCAATGACAGAGTTGAGCTTATTGTGCAGCAAAACGGTGCAGCCGGGTTCCAACTGGTCCTTGTCAACGAACGACATGATGGTGACATAAAACTCGGGTCCGATTGCGGATGAGACGATCGCGTGTGAGTCGTCAATGATCTCCTCAAGCGTGCCGACAAGCATTGGCGAGCCGCGAAGCTCGTCGACTTTGACTCGCTCTTCCTGTAAGAGATGACGAGTGTGTGTGTGTGTGTGAGTAAACGGCGATTGGCTAGAAAGCCTCCTCTCCTCTCCCATTCTTCTCAGATCCGGACCTGATTCTTCTCTTCCTGAGGCTTGAGACGCTCCTGGTTGAGGATAAACTCTTCGTCCATGAGCAAGTAGTCCTTGATGCGCTCCAACTTGAGGAGACGCAACCGGCACTTGGTGTGCGGGACGACTGCAGGAAGTCGGTTGGTCGACTCGGGTCCGCGCTTCTTCTTGCGCTTGCCGATCGTCGTTGGCGCCGGCGGCTCGTACTTTTTCTTCTTCTTGTCCTGTCAGAACGCAATCAGATCCAGCGCACTGTGAGTCGAGCTCGACTGCAATGAGGAAAAAAAAAGAGGACAACGAAACGGAAAGAAAAAAAAAAACTTTCGCGATTCGCGATTCTTGCTTTTTTTTTTCTTTCTTTTTTTTTTTTTTTTTGGTTTTGGTTTTGGTTTTGGTTTTGGTTTGTGCGATCGATGTTTGCAGACTCGACACGCGAACGGGAGTCCTCTGTTTCGCTTCATTGCGAGTAGAACGCGAGGGGACCCCAAACTCACAAACAGCTACAGCAACACTGAACATAGCTTCCAGATTTTTTTTTTTTTTTTTTTTTTTCTGGCTTTTCTTTACCTTGTCATCGTTCTGGTTGCGTCCAGAGCCCTGTGCGGCGTGGCCGTTGAGACCGCCGCCGAGTCCTGACTGTCCTTGACCCTGTTGGTGAATGAGGTGATTGAACAGAAACGCGCAGCAGAAACACGACGACGTTAGAACGCAAAAAAAAAAAAAAAAAAAAGCTATGACCGATGGATTGTCAATGGAAAACCATTGCAAAGGATGAATTACCATTGAATACGATTGGAAAATAAGGAGTGACTCGGATTCGGATTCGGATTCGGATTGTGACTTGGAAATGCATTGGTCGACATGATTGAAACGAGGGATGTCGGGAATCACTGGATGGTCGCTGCGTTTGGCACTGGAGACAGCTCGAAAAAAACGAGATTGTTCGTTTTCGTCGCCGTGCGGGGTCAATCCTGAGGGTACAGTCCCGCTGTTGATGGAATATAGTTATAGCAGTGAATTTGCGTCTATGTGTATCGTCAAAAGGGGTCCTGATGGTCCCGGGAGCAAAGTCGATGATGAAAAACGTCAAAATTCTGACCAAGCAAACAGCCCCATTCAAACCTAAACAATGCAGTCGGCTCCTTGTCGCAGCAGTGCCCCAGATGCACACAATACACACAACAACTCAATATTTACAGAGAAACAAACACAGAAATGTACATTTTGATCAAACACAACCAAACTCTAAGGACGACGAGTGTCAATCTCGCATCGAAAAACTCCACAAAACGCCAATGACCTCAACATCTCGTCCCCCTCGCATCGACTCCACTTTGACTGAAAGGAAAAACTCAAAACTATATTTCTACAAAGTTGCAAGTAAATACGAGGACGATGGGGACAGCGAGCAGAGTCAAAAACACGAGCAAACTTGACCTGCCGAATGTACCCACAAAAGCCTGTCCCTGAGTTACTGCGGTGCCAGAATCCGCAGCCTTAACTCAGATTGACTTCAATTCACACTGAACAATAAATTAAACACAGGCTGCCAACATGATTAGCAGAAAGCCAACAACAAATCAACCGCTGGCTACTGAACTGGCGCAGCGGAAAGGCCATTGCTGTCGCTACTCCGTCGGCGGACATGCAGTATCTGCTGCTGGATGGACTCGTTGCTGTTTCGACGAAGCTTCTGTCGAGCTCGAAGACGAAGTTCGCGGCGAGCGATAGAGTCGCGTTGCCGCGCCAACTCGGTCTCACTCTCTGGTGTAAACTTGTTGCTGATGCGCAGCGGCACACCGGACTCGTCGACAGTCACAAGAGTCATGAAGGCATCGTTGCAATGCTTAATGTCGCCAGTCAGCGGGTTTTCACCGTAGACTGAAATCAGTACCTCGATGCTCGAAGTGAATGCTGCCGTCACCATCGACGTGATGTAGACAATATCACCGACGCGCGTGGGATTGAGGAAGTGCAAACTATCGACAGAGGCCGACAGCAGGTGCACGTTGCGGCACAGCCGACTGGCGGAGATGTACGCGCAACGCTCAATCCAGGCCATAATATCGCCTCCGAACGTGACTAGAAGATGGGACAAATGGAAGATCCATTGCATCGACGCAAGTTAGAATCCATTCCGATGCATCACGACCCCTTTCCATGAACGAGCAGACAAGCAACCACAAAAAACCCCAAAAACCCCAAAACCCCCAAAACCCCCCAACAAACTCCACAACGCTTTCTTGCTTTTACCTCCGACTGTGTTTGCATTGCCTGGAAGCACGACCTGCGTCATATGCGCAAGAGTCTGCTTGGCATAGCGTCTGGGCACCTGGTCGAGCTCGTTGGCTGGAAGGAGACTCTTGCTGAGTTGGTGCCCGTCGTCAAAGCAGTTCCATTCCAGCGGAATGATCACTTCTCCTCGAGAGCGTCGCTCAAGACGCTGCTGTCGACGAAGCTGAGCATGCGAGTATCGTCTGCTCTCGTCTGCACTCTGTGGAATCACTTGGCGCACTGGCGCCGGCCGGCCTTGCGCATCGATCGAGACAAACGTCAGGTACGCCGAGCAGCAGTACTTGCGTTCTCCCGACCGCATGGACTCTGTCTCGACACGAACGCCAATCTCCATGCTCGTATTAAATGTGCGGTTGACCATCGCGGACAGGATGATGACGTCTCCGACAACGCTCGGCTTGAGGAACTGGACTGAATCGACGCTCGCTGTGACGCACGGTCCGCGCGCGAGCTTTTTGGCGGCAATACCAGCAGTCAGATCAATCCACGACAGAATCTGGCCACCAAAGCAGACTCCGCGAGTATCAGCGTGCGACGGCAGCACAATCTCAGCGACGACCTGCGAGCAGAGTCAACAAACGAACGGGGGGTTAGCCAGCCCTCATCACTCACCCCAAAAAGCAGCCATATGGATATGGAATGAGCGCGCATTCAACCAGAACGCAAACAACCAGAACGCCAACGAGGAGAGAGGAAGGGTGGAAACGCACGACAATCGTGTCCTCGACAGCGAGCGGCTCGAGCGGGGTTGGCGCAGACTGCTGCTGAGCGCCCGCCGCCGCCACTGCAGGCTTATGCTGTGCCTGGCTTGACGACAGTGATCGCGACGGTGACGGTGACGGCGAGGACGAGGATGGCGGGTCCGCTTTGGCGCAAGATGGCAGAATCTGAGCAGCCACCCAGCTCAGCGCCAGCATCTATGAGCAAATCCGAGCGATATTCGTCAACAAAGGAAGAGTGTCTCGAATACAGATGATGCAGTGATGAAACAGCGCCAAAATGCACAATGCCGTACTGTTGCTCAGCAAAGTCTCACCTCAGTCATCAAATGAGTTCTCAACGTTGCTCAGCCAAGTAAACACAAACACTAACAGTACAACAAAAAAAGGCTCAAAAAAAGCCAAGTACTCACCACCCAGCAAAATGAGTGACGAGGGACAAGACCAGCAACAAGCACAAGAACAAGCTGAAGAAGCGGGTGCTCTGACGCTGCCGCACGAGTTGCTTGTGATTGTGCTGAGCCACCTCGCGTCCTTCTCGGATATCATTGCATGCGAGCGTGTGGCGCGTGCCTGGCAGGTTGCTGGCAGGACGGTTCGCGCAGACCGTGCGCGCAGATTCAACGACCGGCTGCTGCGCAAGGGCGGATTGCAGTTGGCACCGCTGCTCCTTGCACCCGAGGCGACGGTTGCCTTTGCAGCTACGACGACTACCACTACGACGACTACCACTACTACTGCATCGAATGGTAATAATTCTGGAAGTACGACCGGAACGGCGACGCTTGCAGACTCGAGTACAAGTCATGCGAGTGCAAATCTGAGAGGCTCACATTGGTGGCAGCGAAACGCAGCGCGACTCCAGCCATGCAGCACGCTATCGATGATTGCCATGCACTCAAACTACGTGTTTGTTCCTGCGCTCAATTCCATTCTCATGGTCGGCGGCAATGTTGCGTTCGAGTCGCGCGACCGCCATTTGGTGGAGCCTGCCAATCCGGCTCCTCACCCGGAAGATCGCTTTGCAGCAATCGCAGCGTACCCGGGTCGAAACTGGGGCAGATGCTACAATACCATACGACTGTGGCAGCTGGACACGGGACAATGTTTTATTCTGAACTGCGCGACGGGCGCGCGGCTGGCGTACGAACGACAGATGCAGCTCTTCCGCGGCCGCTATGTTGTAATGCTGCCGCATCTCCTCAATCACTTGCAATACCAGACAGAGCTGCAGGTCCTCGATCTCGCCACTGTGTCTGTCATTTCGCTGCCGCAAACACTCCTTCCAGCGACCGGTCTGGGTCATCTTGTCCTCGGCTCCCTTCCCATCGCGTATCCCGCATCGTTCACCATTGTCGATGACATGCTGTATGCCGTGGACAATCTCCACCGCACATTCTTCAGCATTGACCTGCGCCGTGCTCTCGAGCGACGGGCGGCTGACTGGGTTGTCACGAGCCACCTGTCCTTCTTTTTGGATCACTTTGCCTCGGCGATGACACCAACTTCCGTAGAACCGAGTGCTGAATCGCCTCCCTTTCACATTGGCGCGTTTGCTTGGCGGTCGGGCGACGAAGCCTTGCACCCCATGGACGCCGCGCTCCTGTGGCTGTCCTTTGCTGGCGACGTTCTGCCTGTTGCGAGCTCGGTACAGGACAACTCTGCGTTCTCTGCGAAATGGATGATGTCGCACCGCGTCGCCTCCAGGGCCGCAATGCGCGCACATGCAATCAACGTCGATGACTGCACCTTGTCGGCGGACGCGGCCTATTCCGTTCCGCAAGAACTGGCCCTGCTTGTCGTGTTGGAACGAACAGAACCCCTGCAACCGCAGGTTGGAGGAGCTGCCACTACTGCGTTCTACCGCTCGCTACATCACGAAACTTGTGTTGTCAGTCCAACGCGCTCCAACCTCTCCCTGATCGCCACGCAACAGTCCACGCATCCCATTGCTTTTGGGACGCGACACGTGCACGAAGCGGGATTGACCAGCTTGAGTGTAGAGTTACCCACGGACATGTCTGAAGCGGATTTCATCGGCCAGATCATGCTGCCCTCGAGCCAGTTGGTGCCATACGCGAACGAAGGCATGCTAATAATAAATCGGCTGGGAGTGTGGTTGCTGAACTAAGTGTAACGTATTGTCGTGTAATACAAAACAAAACAAGAAAAAAAAATTAAACTGAAAAAGCTGTCACTTGCATTTTCCTAAACAACCCAAATAATCAAAACCAACAATGGCTCAGTGAACAGCAGCTACGCGATTTCAACAAACTAAATTTTAATCGGAGCGGCCACACATCGACCCAACGGAACAAAAAAACCCCAACCACGCAAACCACAACACCAAGCACTTCCATTTAACAATTTAACGGCGCGTGTATGTTTGGTTGGAATAGCCGCCTGGTTGCGAGGAGGGAGCCGAGCCGTACCCACTCGTGTACGGAGCAGCACCAGCGCCACCCTGAGCACCATAGCCGCTGCTAGGAGCAGCGCCGGCGCCGTAGCCACTGCCAGACGCAGGGGCAGAGTAGCCGCTCGAGCTGGAGCCGTACGAGCTGCCTGCCTGACCATAGCCGCCATAGCCGGAGCCGTACTGGGACGAGCCCTGGGAGCTGCTACCATAGCCGCTCGAGGGCGCGCCATAGCCACTGGAGGGAGCACCATAGCCGCTTGCGGACGAGCCGTAGCCAGAGCTGCTGCCATAGCCAACAGCAGCGCTGCCATAGCCGGTCGAGCTGCCGTAGCCGCCACCGTAGCTGCCAGAGGAGCTACCGTAGCCAGACCCGTAGCCGCCAGAGCTGTAGCCAGAGCCACCGCCGTAGCTGCGGCTGGGCGGGGGAGCGCCGTAACCGCCACGCGAATCACGGTCGCGGTCGTCGTAGCCACGATCATAGCCGCGGTCGTAGCCGCCGTAGCCGCTGCCATAGCCGCTGGCGGTGCGACTGTCGTAGCCACGGCTGTCGTAGGGACGATCGCGGTCTCGGCGATCAGAGAAAGGAGCACCCGGAGGGCGGTCGGGGCAGCTGGCTGCGACGTGACCAGTCTTCTTGCAGTGGTAGCAAACATTGCAATCCTTGGCAATGTGGCCCTAAAGGTTGGAATGAAACAACCAGAACAAGAACAGACAACACGGGGACAACGGTGGCTAGTACCTCGGAAGGGTTCTTCTTGAAAAGCACGCTCCATGGTCAAACTTACCTCCTGGCCGCACTTGTAGCACGAGCTCAGAGACTGCTCGCCACGAGCAACGCGGGGGCAGTTGGCCGAGAGATGGCCGGGCTGTTGGCAACTGGAACACGAACGAAAAAAAAAAAAAAGAGAAGGGTTAGTTTGTTGGTTCCAAAAAGACAAATCGGCCCAGGTGTGCAAACGAGGCTTACCGATAGCACAGACGTGAATCACCGCCGAAGGGGGCGCGACTATGTCCAAGGACCGCAGAGCAAAATATGGTAAGTATTGGGCGGCAAAGAGCGGCAAGCTCGACAAACAAGTTCAATAGACTACTCACTTCAACCCGTAGGGATCTGCGCCAGCCCAAAAGTCCAAAACGTGGAACAAGCCCAGAGATCAATGATTCACAAGAGTTAGTGCCAAAAGCTAACAATCGAGAGAGATGGAGATGGGCGCGAGATGAAGATCGAGAATGATGGAAAAAGAAGGAAAGCTAAGTGCATCGCAAGAAGCAGCTCGGGACACCCGGAAGCGCCACTCCAGACCGGCTGGGAACGGAACAGAGAAACGGAGAGCGATGGACTGCTGGTCATGCCCAAATCGAACAACAAAACAAGAACAACAAGTGAGCGCAAATTTCAAACACGAATGTGAATCGTTCGCTGCAAATCAAACACTCGCGCGTTGACACAGAGTCACATTACACAACACACACACGAAATACGCACACACACACGCACACACAACCCACCATCCGCGCCTTTCAGCAGCTCAGAACCTGGTCACTCTCGCATCCAAAATCATCAGCCGCCCATGCTCGCCCGTCAGCACTCTCGCGTCTCTGTTCCATCCCAGACAGGCCTGGCGCGTCTCATCCAAATATCACCTGCGCTCTGCACAACCAAAAGAGGCAGAAGGGGGAGGAAAAAGAAAAGGACGAGGAGCGTCGATTTGGTCCTTCAAAGACCAAACCAGATTCACAACCAAACCAAACCAGATTTCACAATAACAAGCAGACATATCGCTGGTGCAGTACGGCTTCCAAAGAGGACAGGCACCAAACCAAAAAAACCAACAACCAAACCTAACCAGCGGAGGATTCGCTCTGCAAACACAAGCACACAACGGCCCAACATCACCCGAGCGACAAGAAGAGTGTGAGATTTACATACCGCGACCGCGCGGGCACTCGCTAATCAAGCCGAGGTGAAGTGAATTAAACGAGGAAATTAGGAGAGTGAGCAAAAACAAAAACAAAAAAAAAAAGGCGTTGAAGTAGCAGACATGGGGTGAACGTACCGAGCAAAGTGGCCAGGCATTTGGCACAGATAGCAGACATTGCTGGGGACACTGTTAGGGCAGCGCATCTTGACGTGGCCCTTGCCCTTGCAAAGGTGGCATTCAACAGCGCCCTCCATATCGATCGAGCCGGAAGGGGAAGGGCAAAAGTCCTGGATGTGACCAAAGCCTATCAAAGCGCGCAAAAATGGATGATGGTGAGAGTTACGGATAGGTAGGCAGTGCGCATTCACGAGAATAGCCCGAACGCCTCACCGCCACACTTGTAGCAGTTCTCCTTCTTGCGAGGACCGTCATCAGCTTCATCCTCCGCCTTGCGCTTGACGCCACCAGCACTGCCATCTGTACGCAATTACAATCACAAACAACGGGGATGTCAGCGTCAGTGACGATCGAGGCTTGGGGAATGACAACAGTGGCACCACGTACCAGAAGCGGCGCCGTTGGACGATGCATCAGCAGTGGTGGTAGTAGCAGTCGCAGGAGCAGCAGCAGCAGCAGTAGTAGTAGTAGCAGCAGCAGCAGCGGCGGCGGCGGCGGCAGCGACAGCGGGAGTCGATTCAGCGCGAACGACAAAGAAGACGGGCTTCCAGGCAGCGCCTTCGGGTGCGTGCAAGGCGCCGTTCTCCAGGCGCACAGTCTTGAAGGTGTCGGGGGCGTCCTCAGGGTGGAATCTACACAAACCAGCGTGTCAAAGCCCAAAGCCAGCAACCATTCAAAAAAAAAAAGAAAAAAAAAAGTAAGATCGCGATTGCTGACAAACCAGCCACCAACGGCACAGCGCCCAAAATGCCGAGTTGGACGAGAGTTGAGTAGAGTGCGTGCTTGCGTTGGCGATGGTGAAAGTGAGGCGATGGCTGGAGGAGGAGTGGGTTGAAGCATTGTGGGGGTTGAAGGAAAACGACGGGAAGACGTTGGAAAGGCAGCAGAGCACACACTGACCGAAGACCAGTGGCACCGGCAAAGCGCTCGGCGAGCTTGGTCAGAAGGAGCGTTCCGTCAGACTCGAGAGCGATGGCGACGGGCTCGGCGGTGGCGTCGGCGGTGGGCGCGTCATCGCGAACGAGCACTGTAGCAGCAGACATTGCGAAAGGGAAAAGGAAAAGAAGGAGTGAATGAAGCGTTGAGTTTTGTATGGAAAATGCATTGCAACGATGGAACAAGCATTCATTGCAGATCAGAGTTCAAATCCGGGTTTCCATTGTACAGTGGAAATAGGAAGCACTCTATCTATCGCAGATCGCAGTCACTTTTCAATCAAATGGAAATCACCGTCGAACACAACACACGAGCTGCGCAGCTCGCAATGCACTCGCTGCCGTGCTCGATCGACCACAATGGCCCGGCAAATATTTCGTCCTACTTTTTGGTCGAGTCAGACACCGCCAGCGGAGGTAAAATAAGGACGGGGGGACTTGATTGGAAGATGGCGGTAAGGACGAAGGTTTTTGGCGGGAAACTTCGGTACTGATCCCGTCGCCCCGTTTTGTGCACAGTGCATGCAGCCAAGTTCCGTGGTCGACAGCTTGCAGGCATCACAGCACAAGTGCCCTCTGGGCTTGTTGGCGCGTTGTTGCGGGAAAGCCGCCCTGCACTGACCGACCAAGAGGCTCGCACGCTGGACGTTGCTGGGCAGTTCCGAGAGTTTACGCTTTGGAACCTGGAGACGCCGCCAACCGCACAAGCCGACATGATGCGTGCATTGCATGCCATCGAAGTAGCAGCCATTGTAAGGGGTGTTATTTTGCTTGTTGGATTTTGGTCGTGGTTGTTGGAGCTGCGTTAGCTCATTCTGCCACCTCGTTTGCTCACATCCTCAGCTCCACGGAAATGACGACGACCCACAACCACCACAGTCTGAAACACCTTCAGCTTGAATACACGAACATTAATCTTTGAATGGAGCACAATTCAGGCACTCCTAGCACACACACACACACACACACAAATCCTAAACATGAAATCCGCGCGTTCTTAGTTTGCCGGCGCGGACGAGGCTGACGCAGAAGAGGCACTCGCACTGTCAGCATCAGTTGCTGAAAATGACTTCCAGAGCTGGCGAGCCAGCTTGGTCAGCACACACGGTCGCACAACGTATTGCAGGTCGAGCGCGCCAAAGTCGATTTCTCGGTGCACAATCCACACCTGCGACCGCGAAAGGAAGGTCGCCTCTTGGTCGTTCGCAAAGACGGTGAATAGATCTGGCTGGCCAGGTCGTGCGCAAGTCTTGAGAATCTAGGATGGAAAGGAAAGAAACGGAAGTTACCAAAAAAAAAAGAAAAAAAAGAAAGAAAAAGGTTTGGCTGCCCAGTCCAGCTCACACCCGCGCCATTCGAAAGTATTGGCAACGGATACGTACCTTGCGCAGTTTGGTACCAAGCAGAATACCGATATCTGCCTGGTTGGCGCTGAGCTGGGGAAGCAGCGAGGCGATCGACTCGTAGAACTTGTCCACATCCATCAGACGCGAAATCGGCACCGATCTCAGCGTGTCTGTGTTGAGAAGGACGGTTGCAAATCTGGATTGCGGTTGTTCGGGGGGGAGCGGGGTGAGACAAACAATGACAGGCCGGAAGCAAGGACAACGAATGCAACCACTTACCCATAGCTTGGAGATGGTCGGAGCATGTACTTGCCCCATCCCATCAATGACAGGAGCGGTTCCAGGGTAATAAGCATGGTTGTCGGGAAGAACTCTGCATTTCATGAAGGAAGGGATTTTTTTTTTTTTTTTTTTGTGTGTCTCGTCAGATGTTGCTCGCGGCGAACGGAGCAGGTCAAACTCAGGTTTTTTTTACCTTCAACCACAATGTCTTTACGAGTGTCTTCCTCGATATTTGTTAACAATTCGCTAATGTCAACAGTTCCTTGAACAGGCGCAGGGCTGCAAAGCAAACACAAACAGATACCCAAAGGAAGCGTGAGCACAATTGGGGTATGGAGACAGATTTCCCAACTCATAAACACTCACTTGAGCGCAACGTTGGCAATAATCTCTCGCGGAGGCCGCTCCATGGAAATGTTTACGACGCGAACCATCGAGCTCTTTTCGCGGAGATTGGCAATAATGTTTGTCAGGACTGGGAAGGGCCGCTCGACGCAGATGTCAATCATGACTTGAATGCCAGTGATTTCTTGCTGCAAATCAGAGCAACAATGAGGTGAGCATTGCTGGGAGAGGAAACCGGTTCCCCGACTCAGTGACACCGAACTGACCTCAAGTTCTTCGAGCGCAGAGTTGATTTCGCCTTCAACTTCCGATTCCATGCCCTTGGGAATGTAATATCTGAACAAACAAGGCAGAAAAACAAAAAAAAGTGAGCAAAAGCAGAGCAAGTCCAATATCATGCCAAATAGTGACTGACTTGATGCAAGGGTAGATGCGTCGATTGAGAAGGCACGAGTCTGGCAGTCGGATGAGCAGCATCAACCGCTCGAAAGAGACATCGAGGAGAAGCGGGGCTGGTTGTGTTGGAGCTGTGCGCTCAACAAACAAGACCTTTTCATTGAGAAGTTCCATGTCTGCAGCCAGCTCGCCCTTGACTTTGAGCACAAACTGGAGCAGGGCAAAGGATTTTTTGAATTCAATAATTGAGTTCAACACTTTTGCCACTTTCCTCGGTTCAATGGATCAATGAGATGTCTACCACGTACCTGACGCGAAGGAGGAAAGCTGGATGTAAGCAAGATAATTTGCTGGCGAAGATCGTCGTCGGAAACAGGTTGCTCTCCATCAAAGACGGACAACTCGATCATGGACGGTAAATTCTTCGACGAAGTGGACAGCTGAATGGCCTTTTTGGCTTGTTGTATGTTTTCAATGTCACCTGGAAGATCAAGGCAACAAAAAAACAAAACAAAAAACAAACAAAAAAACAAAACAACAAAAAAACACAAAAACACACAAACAAACCAGTCAGCGTTTGTTGGTTGTCGGCGATCTTGTCACCATAGTAGTACAACAATCACTTGTTCTTACCAATAAACCCATGCAGGGATTCTGTGGGGCTCCGAGGCAGAGAGTGAATCAAGGCCTGATGAGGTTGGAATGCGAGTCAGAAAAGCCAATCCACACCCTCCATCTCTACCATCCTGTACGCACTCGCTTAAAATGATCGGCATTGGCACTGTACTCGAGGGTAAACGATCCATGGAGTGTGCATCTGTAAAACAAGAGGAGTTAGCAACAGCAAAAAACCCCCCCAACCAATTACCAACTCAGAAGCTCACCCAATCACGAGGTGGACTGTATGGTGGCTTTGCTTGACAACAGCGTTGGTCCAAACAAGCCCTGAAAGAGCCAACATTGCCGATGAGAGGAGAACAACAGCAGTGACAATGTCGAAAGTGCAGAAATTCAGCAACAGCAGCATACCTTTCTTGTCCAGAATGCAGCACTTGGGACAGACAGACATGGTGCGGTAGAGAATCATCTGAGTAGAAAGAGAGAGAGAGCGAGAGAGAGCGAGAGAGAGAGAGAGAGAGCGCGAGAGAGTACACACGCAGATGGAGTGGTTGGAAACAGACCGGAACAACACAAAATGCCAGCAATATGGAAACTGTGCCAAAAAATACCTCATGTGTCATTTGCAGACGATCTCGGAAGCCAACATGGTTGACCACCGTCTCAATGGTAAACAGCGACTTGAGATAGTGCTCAAGAGCGAGCCGGCGATCTTCCGTAAACTTTGCCGATTTGTTCGTTGTCAGACCGAACGATTTCTTTGCCGGGAATGGCAGCAGGTGGGTTTCAGTCGGAAAGGTTGCCCGGATCTAGATGGAGGTGTTGGAATACACACGTGTACATGCAGACGTCCATGAATAAGACCAGTAAATGAGTTTGCTGAAGCAAGAAGCAGTAGCTCAAAGGAGACGGTGAGAGATTGGGTTACCCATTCGTGCAGAGCGAGCAGCTCACTGTATCGGCGCGTGACCGTGTACGAAACCTTGTCCGCTTCATTGACGATCGTGAGCGAGTACAACTATGAACGCGCGCAAGGATGCAGGAGTGAGTCAAAGCGAAGCCAGAGACCGAGACAGAGACCGAGTGAGTGAGCGGCAGAGTGCAATCCATAGAGCAATCCACAAGGCCAGCGCGTCTACTCGGATCTGCAAAGCGATCAGATCCAAGTGTTTCCAAATGTCCTGTGCTTGTGCTTGTGCTTGTGCTTGGGATGGGTTGAGGAGCGGAGGTCCTCTTTGGCGGGTGCTTTTGCTCGGCTGCTTTGCCCCTCACCGTCCCCGCCATATCTCCAATGCACGGCAGCACAGACAGACAGACAGACAGCTAGCCAGACAAGACGAGTCACAACTTGCCATGTACTCTTTGCCATCAGGATTGCGCATGAGGCCAACAGTGGCGACATGGATCATCCATCCGACCATGGTTGAGTTTTTGTATTGGGAAAGTGACTGCTCAGAGAGCGATTTCGCATCACACTACGAATTTTAGGTCAGTATTGCAGCACTATTGCTCTGAGGCTGTGCTTTGTTTTGTTGCACTGAGCAGCGAAAGCAAAACCGCCAACCGTCGAAACCTGTTCTTAGTTCTTCAGTCTCAGTTTTTTTTTTTTTTTTTTTTTGTTACAGAAGATGACAGAGCATTGCGACTTGGCGGTGGTGCGCAGAGTTCCATCCTCGTTCTTTGAGGCATTGCGCATGGACGAACCCGAGCATGCCATTGACGTTGCCAAGGTCTGCTGCTGCTGCTGCTGCTGCTGCTTGTTGAGATCAAAGCGGACGGAACGAGAATTGGCAAACAATACTCAAACTCTTTGCTTTTGTGTTGGCGTCCTGGAAATTCACAGGCAAAGGAACAGCACGATCGTTACGTCCAAACACTCAAGGGCATCCTTCCGACAGTGCTGGAGGTGGCTGCGGACGAGGCATGCCCGGACTGCATGTTCATTGAAGTGAGTGCTGGGATTTGCGTGCGTGCGTTGTCTTTGTCCTTTGTCCTGATATCGAGCGCTCACATGCATTGATCATTGCTATGGCCAACGGGGTGTGTGTGCATGTGTGCTGTTGGTTGGGACCAGGACACGGCGGTTGTCATTGGAGCGACCGCTGTCATTACCCAGCCTGGCGCCCCATCGCGGCGACCAGAGACCAGGCCGGTTCGGGACGTCTTGTCTGGCCTCGGACTGACTATCGTCGACATGTCTGCAGTGAATCCTGATGCTCTGACGGACGGTGGAGATGTTCTATTCACTGGTCGCGAGCTGTTTGTCGGACTCTCAAAGCGAACCAATGCCGCCGGTCTCGAAGTGCTAAAGAGCACGTTTGAGGTTCTCGGCGTCCCAGTGTACGGCGTCTCTGTCATCGAGGGCCTGCATCTCAAGAGCGTTGTCACCTTTGCCGATACCGATGTGCTGGTCGTTGCAAACAATCGGTCAGTCGCCGGCGATTGTCCAAGCCAGAAATTGCCACCAATGTGATGCATGTGTTGTGCTACTTGAGTCTGATCGAGTTGGTGCTCGTTTGACTTTGACTTTGCAGAGCGGGACTGGCTGCATTCGAGACAATCAGGCAGCTTTCGAAATTCACGTACACGGGCATTGTTGTGCCCGAAGCCGCAGCCGCCAACGTTGTGCGAGCTGGTAACACGCTGCTGGTACCCTCTGGCTGCGCTGCGTCCGAGCAATTGCTCTGCGACCGCCTTTCTGCCGCCATCACCATCGTGCGGGTGGAGAACAGCGAGGGTGCCAAAGCCGATGGCGCTCTGACTTGTTGTTCGCTGCTAATCCGCAAGCCTGTGAAATAAACCGCGGTCAGTCCATGGTTCTTGGTTTTTGTTTTTGTTGTACCATGCATCGTGTTTGGAAGAGGTGTTGGTCGAACGTAGTTGAAACAAAAAGTAATCTTTATTACTCGCCTGAAGTTGGGGGGGGGGAATTGAGAGGAAGAGACAACGCTGTATCAAAATACAGCAAGCGACTTTACACAAGAGGGAAACAAAACTAACATTGAACAACGGGGGGGGGGGAAGGCTGAAAAAAAAATACACAAGTATCCAACATCGCATGCGGAATACAGAGAGTGGGATACAGAGAGTTACTGCATGCCAAGTCCACCGAGAATTGAGGCGGCTTCAAGTTCAGACTCGCGCGAAATGTAAAGCGAAGGTGGCGAGTGTGCTTTGCCGCCAGCGTCCGTGGACAAGGCCAAGGTGGGAGGGCAATCAGCAGCTTCGCGGTCGAACGGCTTGGCGAGCCAATGCTCCACTTGATGCTGAGACATGACAAAGGAAGCGTACGTGTCGGCTTCATTGTTGTGCGGCGGGCAAGGTGCCTGCAGCTGGCCCGGCTGGAGGCGCGGGGAATGGTTGTAGTCCATGCGGGGCGACGGTGGCGCGCCGTCGTGCTGCTGCAGAAGCGGCGAGCGAATGGCCGGGCCACCAGAAAGCGCGAGAGCAGCATTGGCGCTGTGGCGGCGACGCGTCGTGTTGAAAAGCGAGATGGGCTGCGCGGGTGGGTGCTGCCAGCTGTCCAGGCGAGGCGAGCATGCAGCGGAAGGCGTCGTTGAATTAGCAATCGACATGGCGCACGCGGACGACGTTTCGTGGATGGAAGACAAGGTCGAGCTGGTGCTCAAGCGGCGGATCTGCTGCTGCTGGTGGAGCTGCTGCTGCTGCTGCTGAACAATCACATCGGATGCCATCATGGGCGAACCTTCGTCCGTCTCCTCGCCTTGCTCGTCCTCGTCTTCCTCTTCGTCCTCGCTGCTGCAGCTTTGGCTGTTGAGGCGGGACTCGCTTCCGATGCTTTCTCGCATCTTGGTAGCATTCTTCTTGAGACCGGTTGGGCGGCCCTTGACAGAGAACGGCTCGCTAATAAGCACACCATTGTACGACCAGGCGAAAAACTCGGTGCGATGGTGTCCCTTGCGGACGCTCGAGGTGCAGGTGCAGCGGAAGCCGAGGTTGTCAACGGCAGGCACAAAGCTGCCATGCTTGAGGCGAGTGCCGCGGAAGGACTTTTGGTTGGAAGGCTTGCCAATGAAGGCAAACTCGCCCGTGCACGAGCCGTCCATTGCCTTGGTGCAGCTGCGGCATCGCGTGACGACCAAGTCGTACTCGTCGTGCATTGCATCCGTTTTCGGCACGGACGTGTTGGTGCGCGCAACAAAGCGAACCGTCCACAGGACGGTGCCTGGATAGATGGTGGCATGGTCTGAACGCTTGCGGCGAAGCGGCGGCGACATGAGCGACTCGACAACCTTCCGGCCAGACACGGCCACAATGCTCAGCTCCAAGCCGTCGGCAAAGGGGAAGGACGGCAGGAAGGACAGCTCGCCAAAGTTGCCAGCAATGACCGACAGCTGGAAGAGTCGAATCGGGGGGTTTGCAGGGGCGATCAGCGACGCAGGGGTCGTTGTGGTGACAGAAGGCGATGCGCTCGAGTGGCGACGCTGTGGGATGATGGGCTGGGGAGCATCCAATGCACCACCGTCTGCAAACACACCAGTCATGGATGCCGCCGAGGACGAGCAGGATCCGATCGCAGACATGGGCGGCGAGAGCTCGCGGTACAAGTGGTAGTTTGGCGGCTTGACTCCTGCAGTCATGGGCAGCGAGCCATCCGACAGGCATCGCATGGCGCTCAATGACGAGCTCAAAGTGTTTTGCGGGATTTCGAGTGGCGGCGGGGGTTGGTGCGAGATGGATCGGCCGAGTGGCATGCGGGCGCCTGGCGCGCTGGACGTAGCAGCAGCAGCAGCATGGTCGTCTGTAGCTGCTGCTGTTGCTTGTGTTGTTGCTTCGACCATGGCAACGACGGGAGCGGCGGCAGGGGCAACAGAAGAAGCGAGGTCGGGATGCTGCTGATTCATCCGTTGGTGTGCGTCCGCTTGGGCTTGGTGGCCGCCATAATTCTGCTGCTGGGCAGTGTGCATGCCAAGTATGGTTGCGGGGGTGACAGTCGCAACAGCAACAGCAGAAGCAGCTGGGTTTGGCGAGGCGGGCGTTGGCGTGCGCGCGCGCGAGCCGTGCCAGCTGAGGGTGTAACCGCCTGAAGGTGTGTCCGATTGCCGCCGATGGCCTGAAAATGAAAATGCGGCCGTGGTTGGGATTTCGCACTCTGCCGGGCCCGGCGCAGCACCGTGGCTCAGGGATGGCTGTGCAGAGGAAGCAGACACAGAGACACCCTGCAAGTGCGCGGAGGAGGAGGGGTGGTGGTGGTGGGGGTGGTGGTGGTGGTGAGAGTTGGGCGCGTAGAGATGATGCGTCAGAGGAGGAGGTGTTGCCAATGCCGTTGTTCCTCCAGCCTCGTTCTGAGACCGCGCAGTACCCGCACCAACACCAGCGCCGTGAACAACAGCACCAACACCCATGCCAGTGATCATTGCGCCGGCGAGGGCGGGGGCGGTTGCGTTGGCGTCGTGCGGTTGCTCGTGCATCACCACAAGTTGATTCCATGGATGGTATGGCTGTTGTTGTTGATGTTGATGTTGTTGCTGTTGTTGTTGTTGCTGCTGCTGCTGCGGTTGTTGATATTGTTGATGGAATTCTTGCAGATAATGTGTTTGGGTTTGGCCAAGCTGTGGGAGAACGTGCTGGATTGGGCGGATAATATTTGCAGGTGTATGACGCATCGCACTTTCACTCACAAACACTTGCTGCTGCTGCTGCTGCTGCTGCTGCTGATACTGGACCCCGTTCGATGATGCAGAAATAGAAGGGGACGCTGAAAATGCCAATGAGCCTGTTGTGGTGGGAGGATGTACGTTGCTGTAGCCGGGTGAGTATTCTGCGGATTGGTGGTTGTTTTGCATGTTGAAACCGCGATTTGCTCCAATGATGTTGGTTGTGCTGCTGCTGCTGCTGCTGCCTGCTGTGGCCACCATCGGGGATGCGTTCGCGTGCATCAACGAGGTGCTCATTGCAGCAGTCGATGAGGACGAGGACGAGGAGGAGGACGAAGGGTCGGTCTGCATGGTCGTTGCTGGCACGGCGCTCAAAGAAGGGGCATTTTGGTGCGAGTGCTGATGGGCCACATGCAAAGCAGGCGCTTGCTGCTGCTGCTGCTGCTGTTGTTGAGGGTGGACGGCATAGGAGAAGGAGGACATCACTGATGAAGACGAGGACGAAGAGGAAGAAGAAGAGGAAGATGAGGAGGAGGAGGAGGAGGAAGCGGACGACGCGGGTGTGGAGGAAGAAGCAGCGAAAAAAGGCGAAGCGAGCGCGTGAAAATGGACCACGCCCGAGCCCACCGCAACAGGCTGAGCAGCGGCACCGTGGCCGCCATAGCCCATCCCAGACACGCTGCTGCTTGTCGTGCTGCCACTCACGCCCGTCGTGGTGGCGTGGGGGTGCTGGTACGACGCCTGCTGCTGCTGATGCTGCTGCTGCTGCTGGTGGGAGAAGGGTGTTAAAGTCGACGCGCTTTGATATTGCGCACTCATCTGCGGCTGCTGCATCTGCACAAAGGCCATCTGCTGCTGCTGCTGCTGCTGCAAGTGCTGCTGGGAAATTGCCATTGTCGTCGGTGGCATCGACGCGCCAGACGACGGGTAGAGTGTGGGGGAGGACACCGCTGTTTGAACCGAGGTTGTTGCTGGGAACGAAGGAAACGGCGCGCGCACCTCGCTCGTGGCTGCTCCTGCATACAACAGAGTCATTCCTTGCGGTGGTTGCTGCTGTAGTAGGGGATGAAGCTGCTGTTGTTGTTGCTGTTGGTGCTGTTGGTGCTGCTGTTGCTGTTGCTGCTGCTGCAGGTGATGCTGGTGATGGACATGCAGCTGTTGAGGAGTCAGGTAAAACCCAGAGGTCTGCTGAGGCTGGTACGAGTGCATCATCTCAAAGTGCAGCTGTTGCTGGTGTTGTTGCTGCTGTAGCATCTCACAAAAAGAGGAGTCTAAGAAAATGGTGTTGCACTACAAAGTGTAGCGAACCAGAGGGACGGGAGACAAGAAAAAAAAAATTAACGAAAAAAAAAAGAAAAAAAAAAAGAAAAAAAAAAAGGAAAAAAAAAAAAAAAGGAAAAACAGGGATAAAAAAAATCCTGCTTGGCCAAGATTATCGACTAAAATGACGGTTGTTGCCGAGTTGCGAGCCGTAAATCCGTCGCTGGAGTGTTGGGTGACTATCGTTGCGTGGTTGCGCGTGAAACACGAAAAATGACGTGCCGCTCTTCTGTCGTGTGGGCAGAAAAAGAGAAAAAGGGGGAAAAAAAAAGAAAGGAAAAAAAAAGAAAGGAAAAAAAAAAAAAAAAAAGAAGACTAAAGTGGTTTAACACCTGAGATCACGAATCAAAAGATTGAATGGAGATAAAAAAAAAAAAATCAACGGCAATCCGATCGATTAGTCGAGGGATAGAGTACACAAAAGGGCGCGAGCCAACGATAATCACGAAATGAAATGAAAACGATAGAAAAAAAAATGACAACCACGGTGAAAACCGCCGAGTACGATGATGATCATGACCATGCATTGCAATGCGATAAACGAGCGATGGTAGGCGCGAGCGAGGACGGGGCAAAGACCGAGATCGGGAAGAAAACAAAAAACACAAAAAACAACAAAAAAACAAAAAATCAACAAACCAATAACACACGCACAACACAAAGTGAGAATTCAGAGACAAACGGTATGCAGGACTAATGACGGACGAAAACAACATTGAAAAGCAGGAGAAGAACAAGCAGCTACAATGCGATTTGGTCGAGCGGAGGGAAGGAGTGTGTGAATCACCCGAGCAAGCAGAAGTATCACACACAAAAAAAAAACTCGACAAGAAAAAAAAAAGTCGTCAAGGTGTAATCAAAAAACAGGTTTATCCAAAGAACACAATAAACAAAAGGCCGGGGATATGGAGAGCGAACACGAGAAGGAGCCAAGTGCGAAAAATCAGGAAGAGGGGGTGGGTGGGACCAGAAAGGGAAAAATCGACCACAGGAAACAGCATAAGACACAAACCGAAACCACAAAAAAACACACAAAAACACACAAAAACAAGGCGAGTCAGAGCGGGAACAAGCACAGAAAGAAAAGAAAAAAAAAAAAAAGAAGAAAAAGGCACTTTTCGAATTCGATTCTGTGTGGTTTTGTATTTTTTGAATTTGTTTTTGTATGTTTTGTTTTTTGAACAATTGTTGTTATTGGTTGCTTCGATGAGCGTGTTGTTGGCAAACTGCACGCGCGGGTTTTCATTCGGCCGATTTTCGAAAAAAGTGAGCCAAAAAATTATCCCGCAGTCCATTCGGCGAAATGCGCTTCTCCGCTTGCTGGCCACTCTGCTCCTTTGCCCGACAACGTGCATCACCTCCCAAAGCAACATGAACGTCATTGCAAAATAGCGGCGAAAGTCGAAAAAAATCAGGGGCAAAACAACAAAACGAAACGAAAACATCGGCATGCAGCCAATAACTCAAGTCAACAAAAGCCAAATAGCAACAGCTCGCAAAACGTCAAAGAATCCGCATAAGCTGTCAACCAGATGTGTCGATTGTCTGTGCCGTGTTCGTGGCATGCCCACAAAATTGGGTACGCGTGCGATGGAATGAATGGAAAGGGCATGGGGTTTGTCACCGCTCAGCATCCATAAAATCATGGCGGTAATCAATCGCTGCTGCTCTCATTCAAAATCTTGCCAACCTTCACCACTCAACGCGCTAATTGAGCTTGTAAACATGTTCAAAAAGGCAATTGAGCAATTGAGACGGGTGGTGGTGGTGGTGGTGGTGGTGGGTTTTGGAGCACAGCCAGAAAAAGCAAAAAGCAAAAACAAAACACAAAAGAGAAAAAGTCGTCGTTCTGAACATCATCAACACTATTCGTTGGTATGAGCGGGAGTGCTGGGGTGAGGCATCATCACCACTGCTACACTGTCCCAAACTGCAAACCTCTCACCTCTCCGACCATTCCATTCTTTTTGTTGGAACCACGATTTGCCGTGTCGCCGCGCCGTTTTAAGACGGCCCGGCCCGCCACATGCCTCCTCCACCCCCCGCTTTGACTCTGAGCGTGATCGCCGATGCTTTCGCGCATGTTTTTGGTGTTTGCGAGAAAGAGAGGGGCTGGGAGATCGATCGGGCGTTGGTCGTGTGGGCGCGATTTGCAGCAAAAGTAAACAAAAACATCATGCGGCAAACATGAAACACGGGCTGTTGTTGCTGCCGCTGCGTCTTGGGGTCTCAACCGGCTGGAAATCCGACAGCAGGATGTGACACCCAGAAATTGCTATGCAGCAACATCCATTACCACCACCGCCGCCGCCATCCCCTTCACCAGACACTTCTTGGCCCCAAGCAACGCTGCTGCAGAGACATGTGTCGTTTTGCACCAACCGTAATCAAGTCTCCGTGCCCCAGTTTTTGTTTCGTGTTCTCAACTGCCTCGCCGACCCGCCCCGGACATGGACGCAGAGGGGTGTGCGACATACTCAGCGGTTTGTGCCTCAGGCAAGAACGCAGCAGGTTTCAGGGTGCAGAAAGCACATCCTGATCCGATAAAAAGGGGCAAACGTACCAAGGCGAGGAAAGAAAAAAAAAAAAAAAAAAAAAAAAAGGAAAAAAAGGAAAACTGACCAGAGTCCAAGTGCGAACCCGGCAGAGAGCAGGTTTGCCGCTCCTTTTACAAACGGCAGTCTGGCGTTGCAAATAGCCGACACACACACAAAAAAGAGAAGCAATCGCACAAAACAAAAAGGTGAACGCTCGCTCGAATCGCAGCGGCAAAAGCCGACGGGCGATGCGCTCGATGCGGGAGTCAGCCCGAACACGTTCAATCGCAAATTAGGAGAAATAGAAACCGCATGGCAAAAAGCGCGAGCTGCTCGCCCAAACCCCCTCAAACAGCACTTGTGGCGTTCCGACGGAGCGACAACGTACAATATTCCCCCACAGGGCGGCATCGCGCGAACGACGGTGACGGACGGGAGTGAGAACGCAATGCTAATTTGTTGCTTCTGATTGTTGATTTGATTTGCTGCCAATCCCCGTCCCCGTGATTGTTTATCACAGCAATAATAACATAATGAAACCCAACCTCGCGCGGTTTCGACTGTTCGTGTATTACATAGGGCGTGTTCGACGGGCCACAGCGATCATGCGGATTTTGCGCAACGAGAACGCAACGACAGCAAACATACTCGCCAAGCAGCAAGCGGGACAGCGACAAACACGAGCACACCGGTAGCAAGCAACTGCGCAAGAGGAGAGAGTGAAAAAAAAAGTGAAACAGAAGGGGAAAAAGGGAATAAAGGGAATGATAAAGAAAGGAAATAACAAAAAGAAAAAAAAATGAAAAAAAAAATCCGAAACGCAAATAAAACAAAAAAAGGAAAAAAGAAAAAAAGAAGAAAAAAGAAAGACGGAAATCGGAAGACTCATCACGCATCCAGGTTCTGGACGAGGAGCAACGCGTTAGGGACGAGCTTCTCCTGAGCTAGTGTCGTCGAGAGGTCGGTGATGGTGCGCACGGGGTGTCGCACAACGAGGTTGTAGTTTGTGAGGCCCGTGTTTTGGGTGTCGACAAAGTCGTGCACCAGCTGCTCGAAACAAACAAAAGAGCCATGGAAAAGCGCAAGCAGAGTTAGAGTTGTCAAAGGACAAAGGACAAGACGGAAGTGAAAAAATGGTGTGAAGTCAGGGAGGAACAACCCCAGACTCGTTTGTTTGAATCGTGTTGGTCGTCCGTTCACCCAAAAGACATGTTGCTGTTGTTGTAGTTGTTGGGCTGTGAGAGAGGAGACATGTTGTTGGGTTGCGAGGGAGGTACAACGTCGAATAACAAACGCAAAAGTGTCGCGTTTCTTCCAATGGCACATGTCACGGAGTTTCCACCGTCCCATCACGCAACAAGTCCACCAATGACCAATTGCCAACCAATCCCCCACACCGAGCAGGTTCCAATGGGAGCAAAGGTCGAAAAAACACAACAAAAAAAAAACATAAAAGGCAAACCCAGCGTCTCGATGCAACACTTGTCCCCCGAACAACAAAGAATTGCATTCGCCAACCCATTTCACAGTACTGCACTCACCTGAAGAGTGTCGTCAACATAAAAGCGACGCTCCAAGCGACTGCCTGTGGGTAATTGAAGCACAATGCGCGTCGTGCCAGGGGTGTTTGGCGCGGGCTCGGCTGCGAGCACTCGCTTCTTGTCTTCGCGAGCGCGTTCACGAGCCTAGACGCATCCAACAAACGGGAATGACAGACGACAACAAGCGCGAACACACAGACATAGATAAGAATCACGACCAAGAACGAGGCATTTTTTTTTGGTCAAAAACGAGTTTTCTCCTACCACAATCGCCTCCTCTTCGGCGCGAGCCTGCTGGGCCTCTGCTTCTTCTTGGGCACGCAGACGCTCCTGCTCAGCTTGTCGACGACGCGCCTTCTCCTGGTCTGCAGCAAGCGACTGCTGGTAGGCCGCGTCTTGTTCGTCCCGCAAGAGCTGCGATTGCGCCCGCTCCTGTCGCTCGTTGCGGGCGACGATAAGCTCGGCGCCGTGGGCATCGATGGCGGTCTGAAGTTGGGTGATAACGGTCTCAGTCGGCAAAACGCCTGCCAAAAACACCCCAAAACGATCGGAGAGTGTGTTCGTTAGTGCTCAAGCTCACAACGAATTTGGTGGAGCCAGTTATTCAGTTTGAGCAGTGTACCTTCGATACGGTGAACGAGGACCATTTGGCCGTGAAGGGGAACAACAACTCCGAGGAATGGGTAGTTCACAGTTCGAAGGAGCGTGGCAACATCGAACGCTTCTGCCGTGCGAACGGAGCCCGCCCAAAAGACAAAGTTTTCGTTGACAAAGTCCGTAAACGCAGTCGACGTCAGCACCCCACTGTCGGATAAACAAACAAATGAGAGAATTCAGTCAAACACACACACACCAGCAAAACCAATCAATACACAGATTCAGGACATCGAAATTGCGAGCAAAGGAGAGGTTGCATCTCGTACCGACAAAAGTTCTCGGTCAAGTAGTGGGATGGGGAATGCAGATAAACTAGCAAAAACTTGAGCTCTCGCTTGCTGTGGTTGGAAGCCTTGATGAATCAATTGTACCGAAGAAATGCCAAGTAAGCGAAGGCTCGCGTCACCCCATTCCAGCCACGAGCAGTTTCAAACCACAAAAAGGAGAAAAACTCAAAAGGGGAGCTCACTTCGCGATAACTGCCTTGGAAAAAGCCGGGATGAGAGCGGCCAAACCGTTCGTCGATTTCGCGTTCCAATGCCGTCACATCTGCAAGCGGATCGACGACTGTTGTTTCCAGAGTTAGTTGTAAGGAGCAGTAATTCAGTCAAAGAAGGGAGGCGACCACAAGTTGAGTAATGCTCAGCAACACGACGAGGAGAAAGGCAAACAAAAAAAAACAAACAAACGATCCCAAATAAAAACCAACCTGGACTGGTGAGCCCAACCATTGACGGGATCCAGCTCGCTGTGGAATGAGCAACAAGGAGAGAAAAAAAAGTGAGAGAAATCAAAGCTGGAATGGCAAGCACAAACGGGGTGAACAATGGTAGCGAAACTCACGAATCGGAATCCAGCTCGCTATCCACAGTGAATTGGGAGGGGTTTACAGAAGAGATGGATCAATACGAGTCAGCACACCGCTCAGACAACAGTGTCTATCACATCACTCAGCTCTCAGTCTGAACTCCTTACTCAATGTAGAAACGACCGTCCAACAGTAATCGTAAATTGTTGCCAGTGGTCCAACCCGAAGCCAGCCAGCTCGCCCTGCATCCGCCTGCTCAAACCAAAGTCCCAGATCCACACCACACGGACAAAGAAAACAAACCCCATGAAAACGCGACCAAGTGCCACACATCGGTGAGTCAAACAGAAACCCTTGCGCGTCAGACATGTCATGTTGTTACACACCGGAGCTTCTGCAACTTGATGGTTTGCTAGTGTTCGTGCAAATGCAGGTTCTGCCGCGCGGGGTGTCCTTCGGCTTGGCTGATAGTTTGGCTGTACGCCCAAATCCTCCGCAAATCTGTCGTAGAATGCATCAAGCACAACAGTGAGCTTGCGCAAGTTCCGGGCATGGGTTCCTCAGCTACCAAACATACCGAGCACTACCACGAGTCTGATGACGATCGCCTTCATCTTGCATGCTCAGCGCAGTGACAATTGCCGTCTGTGCAGGCGCAACAGCCAGTAGTGAAAAAAGAGTTGAGCACCACTTCAACTACTCGCTTGTTCCCGCGTTCTCGCATAAGCACACAGGCCACCACCACAAGCATGTTGTGTCGTTGACCAAGCTTGCATTCGCAGGAATGGACACCTTGCATCGAGCGAAACGAAACGCCCAATGCAAAAGGCGACAAAAACACAGCCAAGTTGACTGTACCTGCAAGTTCCAATCGTGCGCCTCGAGCAGGAAGCGGCACTGGTCGGTGCTCTCCATGTTTGTAATGGACTATCGCAGTGAGGATTGCGGCGTGGCGGTGGTGGTCGTAGTGGAGGTAGTGGTCAAGTCAAGTCCAGTCCAGTCAGTCAAGAACAACGTCAGCACTCTCTCTCTCTCTCGACTCTGGTCTCTCTCTCTATCTCTCTCGACTCGTGGTCAAGGCGTACCTGCAGCTGTGCAATCAGTTGCGAGCGATCTTCGTCCGTGCCGGGCGCTGAAGATCCAGCTGCCGAAGACGACGATGCAGCAGCAGCATCAGCAGAAGCAGAAGAAGATGACGAGGAGGCCTCTGTGGTATCCATTGGGGGGAACTCTCTCAGAAAAAGCGACGAAAAGCAAAGACTGAACGAATGAGTTAAAAAAAGTGAGATTATGAGAGGTACTTTCATATGTGGACAGCATAAACGATTGCATCTGCATTTGACTTGGTCACTGAGATTTGACCGCTTTCTGCTGCTATTCACACAGGGCAGTGTTGGACTTGCTGCGTCAATCCGTAGTCTTCCTTGCAATTGCTACTTGTACAAAATCCTCCCTCCCCCAAAATCCAGTCTATTGTAAGGGAAAGGCCTGCAGTCTTTTGCTTTCCGGTCTGATCGCTCGGCCGCTCTTCCGTTTCACAGAATGCCTGGAGGTGGGAGCGATGACGCAGCCCATACTACGAATCATCAGAAGCAGAATCAGAATCAGAGCAGTACTCCCGACAAGGATGTAGCTGCGCGCGTCTTCTTTGAGAACATGTACAAGCTGCTCGTGGACGACTGCTACGTGCTCAGGAAGACGACCGGCTGCCACGAGCTCGCCGAGTTCATCTACGGCGTCCACCGCAACCCAAAGGCAGCAGCCGAGCTCTACGAAGCCAACTGCCTCACACGGCACAACGCAAAGAGCTGCTTCCGATCGGGCGTCCTCGCATTCGACGGCGAAGGTGAGGTTTCGTTTCAATCCATTCCCTCTGCTTCCATTATTATTGACTTTTGGAGAACTCAAAAAACCCACACACGACTCTTAAAACACAATTTGAAATCTGAATTGATAGGCGTTGCGCGCGATTCCGTGCGCGCGTTGGCCAGATTTCGACGCGCGTGCGAGCTCGGATCGGCGGAAGGGTGCAACAACGCTGCCATGATGTTCCAGCGCGGCGTTGGGTGCCCCGCCGATCTCGACGTTGCAGAGCGCTTGTTTCTGAAGGCGTGCGATCAGTTGCTATACACCAACGCATGCTACAACTTGTCGAGCTTTTATCTGCTGGGCGGCGTTGTTCCACCGGCTCCGCCAAAGCTAAAACCAGGCGAGACGCCTCCCGCAACACGTCCCCCGCTCCCTCCAGCGAACAAGGAGCTCCAAAACCTTCCCAAGGCCCTAGAGTACTCTCTTCGAGGGTGCGAATACGGACATCCATACGCCTGCATCAACGCCAGTCGGATGTACTTGACCGGCGACGGGATTCCCAAGGACGAGGTCAAAGGCACCTACTATCGCCGGCAGGCCGAAGAGCTCTTGCAAATATACGTTCCATCGAGTCCATTTGCGCGGTGAAATGGATGGATGTTGTAATTGTACGAAAATAGACGAAATTCATGACATTCGGAAAAGCGGGGCGCGCTTGGTGGGTAATGAAAGGATGTGGGACTCTTGTACAGTGATTCGAGGGTGTCATTCAAGGAATCAAAAAATCGTGTGTTTGTGTGTATGTGTGTGTATGGGGGTACGATTAGTTGGTCTTGGCAGCGGGAGGAGTGGCAACAACAACGGGAGCGGTTGTGACTGGTGTGGCCGCCGGCGCAGAGTCTGGCCGCAACTGTATAACAACAACAACAACAACAACAACAACAACAACAACAACAACAACAACAACAACAACAACAACAACAACAACAACAACAACAACAACAACAACAACAACAAGTGCAACGAATGCAGCACATGAGTGAACAGCAACTGAGTGATGATCAGCACACACTGAGACGGCAGCATGTACAGCTCCCTCTCCCTCCCCCCCTTCTTTCGGTCGCTCGTGCTAAAGCAGTGGCGTGCTCAATGCATGTTCAAACAACAAGACGAAATGCGCTTACGCGGAAGCTCTTGAGCTTGTCAAAGTCGGCAGCGACCGTTTCTACCCCATTCAAGCGTCCATTCAGTACACCAGTCACAAGTCAGACAGCCACCAGAAGAACAAACAGCATATAGCAAAGCAAGAGTACGAGCATCGCTGCGTGCACTGACCGGCAGTCATGAGGCCTTCCGAGCGCAGGTACGCCATGGTACCCAAACAGCTCAGACTCGAGAGAGTGAGCACTGTGAGGATGATTGTGTGCGTCTTGTCACTGATTCGCATGCTGACCAAAGCAATAGCACAAAAGATGGACTGACAACACAAATTCAACAGGAAATGGTCAAATCTATTGATGCGAACAACAAACTCAATCCTTCATGGGAGCTCTACTTCAGTCACCAACACATTCTCCTGCTTCTTGTTCAGCTGGCTAATCAGCACTGGTTTTTGCAGCGACACCACACATGAGCACCCTGCGTACTGCACAGAACCTTCGCCGCCTGTCCGATTGCAGGTAACCACGACACACGGCTTTCCAATCAACGGCGTGAGGCGCGATGCCCAGTAGTTGGGGAGATTGTAGACATTGTTTGAGCGAGTTTCTGAGTCGAGCCACGCCATTGGCATCAGCAGCAGTCGGGTGTTGGCCGCAACGTGGTAATTGGCAAACTCGAATGCTTCCCAAGGAGCGGTGAATTTGTACGGGTTGATGTCCATGCAAATGCCGAATCCGACCTAGATCAACCCCAGAATAAGCAAGCGCGATTGTTTTGTTGTGAAAGCGAGGGGCGGGGGAGGGAAGAGGATGGTGAGTGTGGAACATTGACACTTGAACAGCGAGTGCTTTTGCACCTGTACCTTGCCAATCTCGGGGATTTCAATGGTGGTAAAGCCAGCGCCTTCCTTGGCCCATGTTTCGTCGGTTTCATACAAGAAGTGCTTGTCGTAGGTTAGAAGCAATGTTCCTTTCGCATCGACCACACAACAGCTGTTGAAATTGGTCTCAGACTCTGTGAAAACCAGAAAACCAGGTTGCCAATCCGTCAATAAAACCAGAGACGTGGCTTTGGTGTCGCCATCATGCCAAACGACTCTAACAATGATGATGAGGCTGTCGCACCTTTATCACGTCGTGGATAGCCGACAACGACATGGCATTGCAGGCGGATTGCCGTCTCGCGCGCCCAAGTGACTGTCAGACCGGTTTCTGCGTCCTCGAGGAAGGGCTCAATGTGTTCTTTGCTTCGAAATGCATATCCTACGCGTTGATTTTTTTTTTTTTTTTGCACGAGTAGAGTGAGTGAGTGATTGGTGACGATGCTCAGCCACTCAGATCCTTGTTCACATTGCCAAACAGCAGGGCACCACCAACCTGAGAATGCCATCTCGGGCAAGATCAAGAACTGGACCTGGCCGGGCTTGAGGCTATGCGTTTGTATGGGTTGGATGTGAGTTTGAATACGTCGAACGCATTGCATGGGGAAGGGGGTTGGTCAGTGTGTACGATCAGCGGCACCAGTCGCTCTCCAGCCCCCTTTGTCCCCCCTGTGGCACCAAACCTGGAGATCAGTTGCGTGGCCTTGGCAGCGTTCTTGGTTGGCTCGGCCAGCTCGGGCGCAAACTGGCAGCACGCAATGCTGATTGTCGTTTTGGCCATTGTTTTCTCAATGCACGGACAACCAAACAAGGACTGAACTCGACCCGTTTTCATTCTTACTGTTTTCTGTTTCTGTTTCTGTTTCTGGTTCTGTTTGAATTTGAATTTGAGTTTGAATCTGAGTTTTTGGTCGCGTTGCCAGTTCTTAGTTTTTTATTATTGTTTCTTTTCTTTTTCCCGCGCAAAAATCGAGCGTTCTTGAATTTTTTTTTTTTTTTTTTTTTTTTTTTTTTTTTTTTTTTTTGGTTTTGGTTTTGGTTTTGCGATGGACGCGAGCTCGCGACTGCCACACGCGTGGGCAGCGCCTCCTGCGTTCTCAACGACGCGCGCGTCCTCAGATGCAGAGACAACGCGCCTCGCCGTCTGGCAGTTTGTCGCAGACACGACCGACATCTGCTTTGCAGTCCATGCCCGACAATCGCAGCAACAGCAACAGCAGCAGCAGCAGCAGCAGCAGCAGCAGCAGCAGCAGCCGGTCTCGTCGTCGTCGACCACCATCGCTCCATCGTCGTCTGTGCCGTCTGCTTACAGGGCAGGCGTCGTCGTGCCGCTCGCCGATTGGGACGGCAGCAGCAGCAGTAGCAGCAGCGATGGAATGGTGGCTTTGGCGGCTGCGATTTCAGCTCAGTCTCACCATCACCAGCACGACAGCACCACATCATCATCATTATCATCATCATCATTGGCACCAGAGTTTGGCCACCCTGCCATGGACGGCGCGGAGGGGAACGGACCAACCGCAGGGTCGTCTTCCTCGTCCTATGCCCGACGCAGCGACATTCAGGCGCTCCAGCCACTGCTGCACTACACCTTGGGCGTCTCACACAGCGGCCGCGGACTCGCTCTCCTGCTCGAGATTGAGCGTCTCACACGCGAGGTAGGTTGCCTGGCTCTGGAGACATACATCTTCACCCTTCAGTCAGGGCTGGAATTGTCCACTTCGGATCCAGTCACTCACATTCAGCTGACCTCCACCCCCCCCAAACATCACCTTCTCAACCACACCTCAATTGAATCACTCATGCTCACTGGATGTTCTAACTTGGATGTATGTGTTTGTGACTCATGTGCGTGCGTGCATTTTGGCAATAGGCACGGAATTGCCGGCACCTCCAAGGATTGCCTGTGCTGCTCATGGCACTGATGGAAGTCACCTCAAACTGGCCTGCCTCGGAAGACTTGGCCGCGCCGGCTGCCACTCCTACGGGCAGGGATGGCGCATCGGACCGGCGGGACGTCCATGACCCGCTTCATCCAACGACGACAACCACTGCCGCCGCTGCCCTCCTCACACCGCTCGGTGTAGACTTTCCGACCTTACCAGTCATCTCGTACGATCACCGCAGCTCCGAGTCGTACCTTCCCCGGGGACTGGCAAAGCTGATTCCGGCGGAACTCGAAACGCGACCGCATCTGCTCCACTCCCCCACCAGTCTTTCACTGTTGTACGCACAGATTCTGGGCAATCTCGCCATCTCGGGCGCCGACACGTGCCGTGAGATTCTTGCTTCGGGTCGACTCGTCCATCTGCTCTATGCGGTCGGCCTTGGTGGTCGGCGGTTGTTCACCTCAGCATTCACCTCGCCAACGTCATCTCGATCACCAGGGCCATCTGAATCTGATGGTGCCACCTCAGCTGCTGCTTCCGCCACTTCTCGCATCCAGCCAAATCTAGTTCACGCGCCTAGCCCAGCACTGCTGCCGCAAGAGGTCCTCTATCTCACCTGGTTGCGATGCAACTTGCGGCTGTGCTGCACCCTCGCCGATTCCATGTCAACAACGCTCGAAGACCTGCAGGTGCTGTTTGAGAGTGGCCTGCTGGCCTTTTTGCTTCGGCTTCTGACCGACTCGGGCACCATGCACCCGACGCTTGCCCTGGAGGCCTGTGAAGCAGTCATGTTTGTCATTCAAGGGTCCTTCCTCTTGTCGCCCGTCCTCCTGAATGAGTTTTCAGCCGGAGGTGGCTATGCGACGCTGCGACACATTCTGTTTCAGGTCGATGTGCACGGCTCTGAGCAAAATGTCGCAGAGCTCATCGAGCACATGCTCCGCTTTGTCACGGTCGGCACCTTCATTCATGTCGAGTCCTCGCTCATTCCGGCCTCGCGCTCGCGGCTTGGCATTGAGGTTTGCAATGTCGAGACAGTCAAGGTGTTGTTGGCGCTGTACGACTCGAGCCCGTACCTCAGCACGCAGCGCAAGGTCATCCAAGCCATCCACGCGCTTCTGGCGGAAAACTCGCTCAACTTTGCTCGCTTGCACTCCACCCACATGGTTTCGCATCTACTGAGCCGATTCCACGAAAGGCACGAGACAGTCCAATCCGGCACCCTCCATCTGCTATCGATGCTCCTGGCCGATGGCTACAGACTCAGCGAAGAACTGCGCGAGTATTGCAGCCTTCTGGTCGGCCCCTCGCCACACGCAGTTCTGCTCGTGGCTCGGCACATGCTCACCGAAATGCGACGCTCGGAGCGATTTCGCGATTCCCTGCGAGACGCAGCCGCAATTCCCATTCTCTCCCAGTTTCTCTGTGCGCCGGCGGAATTGGCGTTCGGATCGGAGCTCGGCAATGCGCGCGAGCTCGAGCTAACCATCCAGCTTCTCAAAGCACCGCTGCTGCCAATCACTGGCGAGCACCCGTCCAATCGCTCGCCCGACCCCTCGATTTGGAGCGAGGCACGCCGCGCCGCCATCATCTCTGCCTCTCCCTTGCGCGCCACCGATTCCGCTTCGGTCCAATCCCTCGTCTTGCACGGGATTACGCTCCAAGTATTGTACACGATTCGGGCGCTTATTACCGAAAATACGCACAACCAGTCCGAGTTTCACCAATTGAACGGCTTGTCGCGTCTCTACCAGCTGTTGCCCAATCCGCTGCTTCGACGCGCCGTTCTTTCCGTCATTGAGGTGCTAGGGGTCACTCAATTTGCTGTTCCATGGAATATCATCCCAGACCTTTGGTCTGTGTTCCGAGGCGCAAGTCATCGTCCCAGCGACTTTGTGTCCAACGCAAACGTCGACATGCTCGGTGCCATTCTCGAATCACTTAGCCGCATCATGGCGCGGAACGAGCCGGCCAAGCAGCCGTTTGTCGTGTCTGCCGCCGCTTACGAATGGGCAGTCCAAGTTGTTTCGACGATGGGGCAGGTGCTGTCATCAGCCGGCAATGATACGTCCCAGACGAGCAGCAGCAGCAGCAGCAGCAGCAGCAGCAGCGCACCGTCTGCTGCCACTTCTTCCAACGGAACGGATTGCTTGCAGCACGCGCGACTGCTCCATGCCGTCTTTGTGCTGCTCCGACGACTATTGCAGACGATTGCAGTCTCCATGAGCCACTCGGCGCACAATCAGACCTATTTTCGCGAACGAGTCCGCTTTTCCTCCCTGTTTGAGCCACTGGCGGCCACGGGATTGATCAACTCGTGCTACGGCATGGACCTCGTCGACACTCTGCTTGAGCTTGCCGTGCTGCACCCGTGGCCGGCGTCGTGCGCGCGACACCCGTCGCCTCAAGTGCCTCCATACCTTCTTCCCAACAGTGGCATTCTTGCTCCGCGAACGACGCTCTCCTTGATTGGCAATGGGCGAATTGCCCACGCGTCGCGCAGTCTCCAAGACAAGTGCGGGCACTGTCAGGCATCCATGCTCGTTCAAAACGCCGAGGCGATCGAGTTGCTCGTGCTGTTGTTAACCCACGCAGACCGCGATCATCGCGTTCGCTTCCCTGTGTCGGCGACCGAACCCGCCCCGGATCACCACTATTACGCGGCATACCAGCGCACCTTGTCTGCAGATCTATTTGCGTCCACCCTCACTCCACCCACTCAGCATGGCGCGAACGTGGATACGCCAACAACCCAAGCTGGCAGTGCCAGTAGCAGCACCCCTCTCGTCGGGAGCTCTGATGACGAGCTGGACATTGGAAATGTGGACGACACGTGCGTCTACGCTTGGACTGCCATTATTTTGGTCATTCGCTCCAACATTGCGAATCGCGCCACGCTCTGCGCCTATGGCATCATTCCTGTCATTATCGATCTGCTGGGACCAGTTCTGCTCAACGACCTCATTCGCATTCAACTCTTGGTTCTCGAGGTCATCTGCCTGCTGGCTCGCTACTCAATGTCAAAGCTCGCCTTGCGCAAGTTCCTCGAGCTTTTGCGCCATCCTCGCTACCCACAGTCGCTAACCGACACGCTGTGCAGCATTGCCAAACGCGACCGCCCCGCACCTGCCCACTACATTGACTTTCAGCACACCCAGCGCGACCGCACTGCGGCCCTCAACTTTACGCTGCGTGAAGGAACGCTGTTCAGCTCGTCATCGAAAGGCTTTTGCGCGTCCTTGTGGTTGCGCGTGGTGTCGTACACGCTGCCCGTTGACTTTGCCAACGTCAAGTCCGCGCCCGTGCTCTTTGTCTCGCGAATGCAGCAACAGGCGTCCTCTGCACTCCCTTCCCCCGGCTTGGTGCAGTCTGGAGGGTTTGCGCCAACAACGGATGCACCCGGGCCCTCCGTCTCCAATGCAGACTGGCGGCAAGGCACTGAGGTGCTCACCGAGGGCGCCGTGCATGTCATGTCCATGACGACTCCTGTGGGCCACATTTCCATGCTCATCGAAGCCGGAGGACACTTTATGCTCAAGAACAGCGCTGGCGATGTCGCCACCTTCCACGAAGCCACCATTTCCCTCGGAAAGTGGCACCACATTGCCGTGTCGCATGCCCGTCGCTCTGGGCGGAAGGATAAGAACGGCAAGGTCTTGCTGTGGGTGGACGGCACCTTTGCTGGAGAAGCTCGCTTCCCATATTTGGCCACCTCCAATGTGCCGTTTGCGCCGCACATTACCTTCAATGTCAGCCAGACGGTGGCGCCGTCTTCCAGCGACCATCACGCTCCTCCCTCCTCCGGGTCTGCTGCAACAGCCGCGTCGAGCGGTCCACGGGATGTTTGTGCACTGACCGGCGATGTGCCAATCCACTCCTGGCAGTTGGGCCATGTCCTGGTTTTGGAGGACCATCTGTTCCAGGCCGCCGAAGTCTGGTCACTGTTTGTTCTGGGTCCCAATTACAGCGGCAGCTTTGTAGCAGATCCTGCGTCGTTTTTTACCCACGAGCTCATCAATGAGCAGAATATTCGTGCGCGAACGCTCCCAGAGTTGACCCTGCAAACCTCTTCCAGTTTGCTTCACATTCAAGAGCGCATTGCCTTCATGTACTTGCCTCGTGGCTCGTACGTCATTCAAACAGTGAGCGCACCCACCTCGAATCTCACCGTGGCTGTCGCGCAAGTGGCGGCAGCAACCGCCGCTGCCACAACGACCACCAGCGGAGCAGCTGCTCTTGAAGGCTTGGACGGCGCAATTGCGGCTGCTGCCTCAGGAGCCACCGTGCCCACAACCATTATTGGAGCTAGCTCTGCGTTGCAGCAGATTGTCTCTGCCTCTGGTGGGGCGGCTGTCGCTGGAGACGGTACAATGACGGCCGCTGCCACAGCCTCCTCGCTTGGAATTGCTGCTGCCCTTTCCAGCGTGGCGGCTGCGTCGCTGACAACCACCGTGGCTACGCTGGCCACAGGGCAGCTGCCAAATGCAGTTCCTTCTCGATCGAGTGGCGGCGTCGCCGCGGCTGATGTCACAACTCCGGCCACCATGGTTGCTGCTACGGCCGGCTCGATGCCAGCATCGCTTGCCAACGATGGCGATCGTTTGCTTGTCCCCGTCGCCGTGCGAGTTCTACCTCCTGCTGTCGTGTGCACTCGGCGCGATCTCAAGGAGGCTGTCTTTGACGTGGGCGGCGTCAGCATTTTCATTCATCTTCTTGCCAAAGCGCCTCCCGTGGAGGCTCTCCAGTGCAGTGCAATGCGTGTCCTGTTCGCCTTGCTCGAACATCATCCACAAAACCGCGCCCAGATGGACAAGCTGAGTGGCTACCAGCTGCTCGGCAAGTTTATGCGCACCACGCGCTGCCAGCTGGGCCTGGAGATGCTTCGCGTGACATTTGATGCAGTTTGCACTGGGCTTGCGCACCAGTCGGGCGAGTACGACCAACATCCGTCTCCTACCGCGTCGCCCGCGCCGTACTCTGCGCTTCGGCCAGGTTTGGAGCCACGCTTGCGCGCGGAACCTGCCAGTCAAGTGCCATTCAACACATTGCCAATCGGAATTGTCAAAAACCCGCAAGCTCTTGCCCACATGCTGCTCGACTGGCGAATCTGGCATCGTGCTCCAATCCTCGTCCAGGAGACGCTCGCCCGTCGCTTGGCTGATCTCGTTTCGGCTGATAACCTGTTCCGCGAGTTTAATCTCTTGCAGTTTCGCAGCGCGAATGCCCTCGAGCGCTTGCTCGCCTTGTTTCATGACTTTGATCGTCTGCCCAGCGGCGTCGCCAGCGCGCTCGTCGAGATGCTTGCCAGCATCATGCCTGCGCCCTCGCGGGAAGCGAACGAGTTTCAAGACATTTTGGGCTTTTTGGTGGCCTCTCACCCGACAGCAGAATCGGTCACGGCCGCCTCCTCTGGCCCGACCCTGTCGGTCTCGTCCTCCGCCTCAGCCGCCGGCACCAGCAGTAGCAATACCAGTTCCACCGTGGGTGGCGCTGCAACGGCCAACCCTGCGGCGACGCTGAATGCTCCACAGCCCGCCGCTCCTGTTCGCAGCGGCAGTGCGTCCGCAGCATCATCAGCGTCATATCTTGCCTCACGCAGGTCTGCGGCAATGGCTGCAGCCGCTTCCAGCAGCAGCGAGGTCGCAGCTTCAACCACTTCCCCTGCTGCTCCTGTTCCTGAATCTGGAGCAACACCCACGCTGAGCTCGACACGCTCGACAAGCCCGCGGCCAACCAATCGCCGGCGGCTGCTTTCATCGCCTGTGCGTGCTGGAGCGCCAATCCCAGAGATTGCGTTCGGTGCAGCTACGACAAGTTTGGCCACAACGTCGCTGTCTCCGTCTACTTCTGCCAGCTCGCTCTCTCAGTCAAACTCGAGCGAGTCTTTGGCGTCTGTTGGCGCCTCCCCGGCTTCACCCCACCTGTACCCCACCGTCCGACAGGATAGCTCCGTCCAGGCGTTCATGCTACCGCACACCGCTTCCATTGAAGTGCTGCACGACAAGCAAGATGTGGCAATGGCTTCCGCGCGTGTCGGGACTCTTGACATGCTGCTTTCCATGCTTGTTCGAAAGTCCGACGCGGTGGTGGAGCAGTTTGCCAATCAGTTCAAGCTCGATGTGCTTCTCGCCTTGCTCAACCACGAATCCATTGAAACGCGAATTGCGCTGCTGAAAATTTTGCACTTACTCTTGCGGCGAGGGGGCGTGCCACTACGATCCCGTTTCCTCCGCATGAATGGTTCCCACCTGCTGGCCAACCAGCTCAAGCACCACGATGTGAACGATCAGCTCTTTGCAGTCCTGTTTACCATGTTGCTTGGTCCGGCTGGGCTGTACCAGTCGCGATTCATGTCTTCCAACAACTCTCAGCCTGCCTCGGCTCCCGCCGTTTTGCCCGGTGCAGGTCTTCCCTTGAGCTTTCACCGCGGTCACGTCGACAGCGCGTCGTTCGATGACTCACAGCTGGCCGATGCTGGCTTGGGACGAGAGGACGATCTGTCATCGAGCGCCCCTGCAACCCCGCCGCCCGATTCCTCCTCATCGACGTTCTCGACCATGTTTGGTCTTGCCTCGCCTGGAGTTTGGACACACCCACAACCTGTGCATCAGTTCCCTCAGGCACCTCGATACCACGGTGGTGCCGCGGGGAATGAGCGTGCGCTGAACATGTCATCCACTGCATCCCTCGCTTCGGGCACGTCCGCTGGTTTCACACCCAACATGGCACCGTCCGCAACTCCCTCCTTGCTGTCCGCCGCAGGAACCATCACTTCTACCTCGACCAACACCAATTCTTCGGGTAGTATCACGAGCGGCAGTGCTTACGGCGGCAGCCAATCCCACACCAAAGAGCTGCAGCAGAACTCGCAGCCGCTCATGCTGGGTGTCCTGCTTTCTCTGATTGAGAACGCAGTGGGCGCTCCCACCCTCTGGCGTAGCGTCTTGCTGAGCTTGCGCGATCTATTTGTCGAGCGAACCGACTTGCAGCGCCAGATGCTTGAACAGGGCTTGATCGAGACGCTGGCCGGCCTCCTCGAAACTGTCGTCTCGGGCATGCACGCGCACACCATGATGCTGCTCATCCAGCAACATATTCACGCACACGCCGATGGCGAGACGGAAGATGCGGCGTTGCCGTCGTCTGCGAGATTTTCCCCCATTCTCGAAGACGACAAGGAGGCACCTACCTCCGTCCTGGACACCAGCGCAGAGGCAGCAATCGGCACAGTCAGTGACTCACAGTCCATGACTTACGAGTTCCCACAACCATCGGTTCCGCCGTTGATTGTCGAGACGAGTTTGGTGAATGACGCCCACATGTTGGACGTGTGCTTTAGCATTTCCGGGGCCGAGCAGCCGTTGGTGCGCTTGACCTTTGGCCCTGTTGCGTCTGCCCAGCTGCCAGCCGTTGTGGGCGAAGGCGTGACGGCAACGCCAAAGTCCGTAGCCCCGGCCCGAGCTGCTTCGCAGCCATCGTTCGTCCCAGGGCGGGCGTCCTTTGCGCGGGCGACCTCCATGACGACGAGTAGCTCAGGCTCAACCTCTTCCATCCCGGCTGTCGTGACGGCCATTCCTGAGGCGACTGGCGTTGCCATGATGTGCGATGTCGTCGACTTTTTCAGAGCCATTGTCGCCGCCGCCTGCCGCAACGTCGATCAATTTCCTCTTTTAGACGAGGTGCTGATTGCCATTTCCAAGCTGCAGCGTCCTACTCCCAATGCTTCGTCCTCCACGAGTGCGCCTCAAGTCTACTTTACGACGGGGTTGACGCTCGTTCAAGTGCAGTCGCTCAAACGCACCATCCTTCAGGAGACGGTGGACTTTTTCTATCACAACGTGAGCTCTGACGACTTTGGTCGTCACGACCACTTGATTACCAATTTCGTGTCTGTTTGTGCGCTGGCGGTAGATCACATTCTCTACGGCGAAACCGCCATCGCGCAGACTGCTGCCCAGACTGCTGCTGTCCCTCCCAGCGCGGTTGCTGGAACGCCCTTCTCTGGTCCAGTTGTCTTCCAAGAGGCCCAGTTTGACTTTATTCGCGATGTATTTGGCATTATGAATGGCATTTTTGCCACGAGCAACAGTAGTGCTGCCGGCGGCGCCAACCAAGGCAGCGGCGACAACAAAGCGGCCTCTCTGGGCACCGCCAGTCCGTCGGGATCTGCTTCCATAGCGACCTTCCTTTCCTCCATGCGGCCGGGTGGCACACACGCTGCCGAGTTTCTCCCAGTGTTTGCTGCCCAAGTTGCCATCCAGTCGCAGCTGAGCCGTTTGGTTGTCTTCTTGCTTTCGCCTCAGCAGGTCCAGTCTCAGCGCGAGGCCACATTGGTCCAACTGCTCGACACCTTTACGACCATTACAAACTTCCCGTCCGAAGCTCGGCCCGTGCTGCTGATGATGTGGCATCTTCACGACATTGTCAAGAACGCGAACGACGCGGCGACTCGGGCAGAAATTGTGGACGCTGCTAGCCGCATTGCGGCGTCTCTTGCGCAGCATCGAAATCTTGTCAAAGAATGGATTGATTGGGGCAAGTCGTCGTTTGCGCCACCGCGCTTCCACGTCGAATTCCTCCCCAACGGCGAGAAGGAAGTGCGGACTTGGAAAGAGCAGGAAGCGACAACGATGATCAACTGGCGCACCGAAAACATGACTGCCAAGTCGCGCTTTGAGTCGCAGATACTCAAAGCCAAGCGAACGAGCAGAGCGGATGCCATGCAAGTCACCTCCACGGCATTGGCGCTGCTCGGCGAGCAGCAGAAGGCCGAGCTTGCCCGCCTCAGGCGCATTATTGAAACGGAACGCACCCTCCAACGCGTGTGGAAGTCTCTCATCAAAGAGGTCACTCAAGAGCGGGCCGTGTGGTGTGACTTGCCGGAAACGATTGTTTGGCAGCTCGACCCGACAGAAGGACCCAACCGCATGCGTCGCCGTCTCAAGTACTCTTCTCGCCAGATTGACTACCCGCCGCCTGTACGGTCTGCTGCTGCGGTGTTGTTCCCGCCGGCTTCTGGCAGCAATGGCGCAGCCTCCGGAGATGCGGGTGCAGTGGTGTCCAACAGCGCCGCCCAGGCCCAGACCCCCACGGCGCCAATGACTCTGCTGACTGCTGCACTCGAGTCTACTGTCGACGCCCTATCGGGCTTGTTCGAAGAGGCCGATGCACTTGTGAGCACGGGGTTGAGCAATCTGACGGCGGCCGATGTTGCGCAAAACCCGCCGCCTGACGAACGCATTGTGCTCTCGTTCCAAGCCATGCGCATTACGCCTTTCAAGCGCTACCACGGCGATCTGCTTGTCGGGACGGACAATGTCTTTTTCATGGAGTCTCCCTCTGGCGCGGCTGCCTTTGACGAAGATTTGGACGATGCCCCGAGTGCCGGCGCAAAGTCGCTGCACGTGTATGACTCGGTGACGAGCCCACCCGTCAATGCGCAGCCAGTAGGGTTGGAGGCAGCAAGTGCTGGTGCGTTGGGCGACGGCGCTGCTGCCGGCTCTTCCGCGAGTCAACCTCGCCGAAAGCAGGCGACCGTGCGCCAATTCCGCCCTTGGAAAAACCGCGGAACGCACATTGTCAGCTTCTTGCTCGAGGACATTGAGAAAATCCACAAGCGTCGCTACTTGCTCAAGAACAATGCGTTGGAAATCTTCCTGGTCAACGGCAAAACCTTCCTGCTCGCCTTCCAGTCGACCAAGTACCGAAACGAGCTATTCGAGCGCCTCATGGCGATGGACTTGCCACATTTTGTCAACTACGAAGACGAGGTGGGCGGCAGCCTTTTGCGCAAGTCGATTCGCGAAAAGTGGTCTTCGGGCCAGATGAGCAACTTTGAGTACTTGATGCATCTCAACACGCTGGCCGGCCGTTCCTTCAACGATCTCACCCAGTACCCAGTGTTGCCGTTTGTCTTGGCCGATTACTCGTCTGATGAGCTCGACCTGACCAACCCCGCCACCTTCCGCGACTTGTCAAAGCCCATGGGCGCGCAAAACCCAGAACGGTTTAAAAAGTTCCTCGAAAAGTACGAAAGCATCTCGGATATGGGCGACGACCAGCCCTACCATTACGGCTCGCACTACTCCAACATTGGTTCGGTGCTGCACTTTCTGGTGCGTCTGGAGCCCTTCACGCAGTACTTTGTTGAATTCCAAGGCGGCAAATTTGACATTCCAGACCGCACCTTCCACTCGATTGCCCAAACATGGAAGCTCTCGTCTGCCTTGTCGAGCTCTGACGTCAAGGAGCTCATTCCTGAATTCTTTTTCCTTCCCGAATTCCTCATCAACATGAACTCGCTCGATTTGGGGTTGAAGCAAGACAATGTGCCCGTCCACCACGTGCAGCTCCCACCGTGGGCAAAAGGTGATCCACGACGGTTTATTCTGTTGCATCGCCAAGCGCTCGAGTCCAAGTACGTGTCCGAGAACCTACACCTGTGGATTGACCTGATTTTCGGAAGCAAGCAAACCGGCGAGGCCGCGCGGAAGGCCCACAATCTCTTCCATCCCTTGACTTACGAGGGTGCGGTTGACGTTGACAACATTCAGGATCGGCTGCAGCGCCAGGCAACCATCGCCCAGATTCGCAGCTATGGACAGACTCCAAAGCGAATTGTCAACAAGTCCCATCCGACGCGCACCGTCACGGCGCCGCCACCGCCTCCCCTCTCTGTGGCCGTGGCTCCCACCCCTGCCACCAACGCGAACTTGGCTGCGCCGTCGTTCAGCTCGTCGCCCACCACGGCGTCTAGACACGTGTATCTCCCTGTCATGGTTGAGCACACTGGCACCGTCGTCCTTCCGCGCGTGCCGATGGAGGTCAGCCAGCATCCCGCAGGAATTGTCGGGGATGTGGGAGCGTTTATGCAACACGACTCTCCCGCGGCGCAGCTTGTTCAGCCTGCACTGACGCGAGCACACCCACACGCAAACATCCTCCATTCGAGTGTGGTGCGCCACCGTGCAGCCGCAGGAATGACCTCGGCTGCAGTGTCTGGCGGCTCGTCGGCGTTCTCCAGCTCCAACACCAACCCCAGCGCGAGGTCAGGCGCAGAAAAGCCGCACCAGCGCAAGAGCTCGTCGATTGTGGCGGGACAGCAGTTGCCGCCACACATGTCGGCATACATGGTCTCACTGTACGACACCATCTGGTTTGCCGTCGATCCGCGCAATGCGCCTTCCGTAACATGGGAGCGCACCCTTGGCGATCCCGTGCAGCAAGTAGAGGCCTACGACGGCAGCTTTACCGCCCTCGGGCCGTGTCGCACGTTGGTGCGTGGCGACAAGTCTCGTCACTACTATGTCAGCTGGGGCCATTGGGATCGAACGCTGCGTGTTTGCTCCCTGGAAAGCCATCGTGTCGTCTCGAGCGTCGAGCTCTTGCACGACGATGAGGTCACCTGCTGTGTCGCGCCGCCGGACGGCCGCATTCTCGTCACTGGCGGCACTTCGAGTGTCCTTGTTGTCTGGAAGGCGGTGCGCGAGACCAGCAAGCGGATGGACCTGACGCAGCCCGTGTCTCTCCACGGCCATTCGCAAGCCATCACCTGTCTGGCCGTGTCGCGTCCTTTTAGCGTGATTGTCAGTGGCAGTCACGACAGAACTGTGTCTGTTTGGGACTTGAACCGACTGCGCCACGTGCTGTCATTGCGCGGTCACGAGGGCACCGTCATTTGCGTGGCGGTCAGTTCGTGCTTGGGCGACATTGTCACCGTGTGCGAAGGACCGTCAACCACCTCTTCTTCTTCTTCTTCTTCTTCTTCTTCATCTGGACTGTCCACTGCAGGTCACGGCCACCACCACGCTTCTTCCTTCCTGCCTGGGTCGGCCGCGGTTTCGGCCGCTGCCGCTACAATGGCCGCATCCGCGAGCGCTGGTGGTGGTGGTGCGTTTGGTCTTGGCAAGCACCACGCCTCCTTGTCCCCGCACCGCGTCCGCTCCAGCATGGCCTCGGCAAACCCAGTCTCCAATTCCGTCGGCAGCGTCATTCGACTTTGGACGGCGAACGGCACGCTTGCGGCGCTGACCACTTGCACACGCAAAGTTCTGTGCACTGCCCTTTCTTCCGTCACCGAAGGATCCGTGGTCAACGTCCTTGCTGCGGGACTCGACAATGGGTACATCAACCTGTACAGCATGTGGGATTTGACGCACACCATGACGCTCACGCCGCCTGGTGAGCCCCAGCCAGTGCTCAGCCTGAGTTTCTCCAGCGACGCCAGTGAGCTCTACGTCGGCGATGAAACCGGGCGCGTCATTTTGTGGACGCGTCCTCACAAGCATCGGTCTGCGTTCTCTGTTCGCTCGACGTCTGCCACGCCCAGCTTTGTCGTTCAGCAGCAGGTGGCTGCGGCGGCCGCGCATCAGCTGCTTCAGCAACAGCAGCAGCAGCAACAACAGCAGCAGCAACAACAGCAGCAACAACAACAACAACAACAACAACAACAGCAACAAGAGCAAGATCAAGAGCAGCAACAACAAGGGCAACAACAACAACAAGAGCAGCAGGACTAACTTTCATGCGATTGCAGCCTGACCCACCACCACCACCATTAGCACCACGTTCCTTTTTGTTTTGTAAATTGATTTCATTAATGTAATTTGAATGTTTTATTGTTTTCTTGTTTGATCAGCATACAGTACAAGTGCTTCCATTGGATTCAGTCTTTCATTTCACTTTATAGCTTCTCTGCGAATGCGCACTCGTCGACTGGCTCAGTTTGTTGGAATTGTTGTAGTCAACCTGGCTCTCCCACACTTTGTAAGAGACCTGCTTGCCCCCTCCCTGTGACTGTGTGGCTTCCTTGCGCTGAGTGGAGACTGGCGCGTGGCTTTGTGGCTCACTCTTTCTTGTGCTGCTTCTGACCCTGCTGCGACTCCAGACGTTCCCGTATGTGCATAGGTTTATCAACGAGCATCCCTACTGGGATCGTCGTCGTCGCGCAGTGGAAGAGGAGCGCGGGCTGTACCAGTTTCCACCATTGAAAACAGACCAGTGAAGAGCAAACATGGTCAAAGAGCCAGAAGCCACAGAGCCATAAGCCAAAGCCAATAGCCAACAATAATACTGATATTACAAGCCATCCCTGAAACCAAGACACTCATGAGCGAGTCAAACTCATGGTTGAGGACTCCAGGTTGCGCGTCGAGAACTCTCTGCTCGAGCCGAGGCCAACATTCTACGCTGTTTGAGCTCGTCAATGCATCAAGTGCAGTTCATCCATCATTCTGATTGATATGGCTCAGCGCACATACATATACACGGTCCAGGCTGCTCAATGCGGACATCCTGCCTTCTGTTTGCCGGGCTGGAGCGTTGCTTTTGCTCCGTTTCTCAGACCAGCCAGTGATTGTCTTTTGATCGACGAATACAATCTTATTCAGATCACAACATGTCATTTGCTCTTTCATGAACAATCGTGCTGTGTTTGGCGCTGTCCACAATGCCACTTTGCTTGCTTGGACGCTGTGCAAAAGCACCACGTTCCTGTCCATTACTGTGCGCTCCACTTGTTCCTTGTTACTTGCTCAGTCACTCTTCTATTTTACTCTGTCAGTTTTCCAAATCACATCTACTTTGCTCAGAAATGGTGTGCAAAGCTTGTAAGTTTCGAAAACGAGTCGCGCGGGCGGCAGTCAAAACCGGCTCATCGCGCACCGCACTGCTGCTCTTTGCTCTCACTAGAACTGGGGGAGAACAAGGATGCTGATGATGAGGATAATTTGTGAAAGAGGAGCAGAGACTATACTTTCATTAGTTTTCCTGCGTTTTGCTTCTGAGATTGTGTTTCATTCTTGAATACACAATTTCACCCCCCCGAAAAAAAAAGTTAATATTTTATTATGACAGGACTATTTATCCATTTCTTCATCGTTAGGGCAAAGGAGAAGGGGATGCATCACGAAAGCTGGATGCGGGCTGGCGATGCAAACTGAAGCGCCCAAGCGTCTCTCGTCGAGACCCACCGTTGGTCTTTCTTAGAACTGGACGAAGAACGCTTGGGGGTCGGCTGGGAAGAAGTCTGCTTGGAAGGCTGCCATAGCAAAATCTGAGTCCGCTCGGTTTCAAGCAAGTTCGAGTTGTACGAATTGACTGCCTCGACAAACACGTCCGGAAAGTCCCAAGCCCTCAGGACACGAATCCAGAGCGGAGCTGGGTTGCACTTAGAAACACGTGATTCGTACTGGCTGCGGAAAATGGCTCGCTTGGTTTTGAGAGCATCTTGCTGGGATCCATGGAGAAATTTTGAGTGGGAGGTAACGTCCAACGTCCCGCCGTTCAGCAAGATCTCGAGTGCTTGTGGATGAGCCGACATGTATTGAAACCCTGGCGAAGTCGAGGTCAGAGCATCGACAAGGTTTGTCTGGCCGCTCTTGCACTGCACAACCAAACTGCCAATTCGCCCATCCAGACTGACGGGCACCAAACAGTCTGCACGGGCCTGCATATCGCCGCCCCAAATGACAAACTCGGGGTGCCGGGAGTGCATGTCGTGCGGGCATCGCGTGCTGACGTTCATGCACTGTGTTGCGGTCGTGATGAGGTTGTTGAGCGCAGGCGGCCAAACGAACGAAGCTGGCACGGGCAGTACATCCTTGAGACGCTGGTTCAGACAACCTTGCGCGAGAAACCAAGCCATGTCGATCTCTTCGATTTCACCGCGGGCAGACCCGCTCAAAGTGAGTGACCAGTTGGTAATATCTTCTTTCATGAAAGTGCAGACTTCCGAGGAGCGGGAATGAGCCAGAAGTGCGTCATGGAAGGCCGGTTCTTGGGCCAAGTCGAACAGGCGATCCGACCCACACGAGAGAAAGAGGAGGCTGGCATCTCGAAGCTGGACTTCGAGTTCCAGCGCGATGAACACCTTCGGTCCTCGCGTCAGAAAAGCAAAGACCAAGTGGCGGAAGGCCGGGATGGTGCAATCACGAAGAAGCCCCAGCAGTTTGCTGTAAGCGTTGTTCGCTGCCGACGTTGCAGCCTTAATCGCACAGTCGGCGAGGTCGATGTTCGGTGAGAGAGAATCGGAGAGCAACCTTGGCAAAAAATCCGAGAAGAACGCGTGCGGACGCCCGCACAGCCGCTCCAGTCGCTCGCGCAGAAGCTCGCTTATGGCGAAGTCGTTGCCAAAGTAGTGCTGGAGAACACCGCATATATCGTCAACGGTGACAATGTGTTGTGCGCCCCTGTGTTCCTTGATGTTGTGGTTGAACGGCGAGTTGCTACCACTCATTTTGAGGACATTGATGATGGTCGAGTTGGTGTCGACCAGCACGCAGGGCAATTTGCCAAGGCGATGAAGTGCAACTTGTAGCGCATAGAGTGCACAGGTCTTGCCAGTGTGCGGCGAGCGACACTGGTCATGCAGCTCGAGCACTTGGCCGAGAACCTCGCCACGAGTCCAATCACTCCAGTGAGCGAGAATACCTGGTGCAACGTTGATTAAAAGGCCGGCCTCATCGATGCCAAGCACGAGAGGAATCGTCGGATCGAGGCGTCGGGCGCTCAACTCGGCGAGCTGCTCGGTCAGGTACGTTTTCGCGTCAACCATACTGTCAGCTCGCAGACTCGCCAAGCGCGCCAAGAAGATGAGCTTGACACCGATCGAGCCAAGTCCGTTCTCCAGCACACTCAGCCACAGCTCACGCTGCGAAACAGAGTCGATCGCGGGTAGAGGTGGCACGTGCGTGGTGTCGGTGCGCACAAACTTATCAACCTGAACCAGCCACTCGAGATACGCGCCAATGTAGATGCGAACGACCGAAAGCGCCTCCTTGGAGTGCTTTCGAAGAGCGTCCTTGACCAGAGCGGCGTCGGCTTCTGTCCAACTGCTAGGCGACGTGTTCGGCATAGTCTCGACAGTGATCCGTTTCATCTTCTTCGCAATGTCTTCCAGTTCCACCTGGAGTTGCATTGTTGGAGGTGTCTTGGATTGAGGCTGGTCGCTGACACGCAAAAGCACGACGTAGCAGTGCTTACGCAGACTGAACAGTGAGTGCGTCTTGCCAGCTCCGCTCGCCTGCACGATGGTGACGAATGGCGCGCCTGCTTGTGGGTTGGTGACAGCAGGTGTGCGACAGAGATCGGCAAGCTCCTGAACGGTGTTCTGCCCGAGATCACCAAGCTGGAATGTGGAGATGCCAGCTTTGTCGGATCGCAAACCGTACGGTATTGCGGGGCGGTTGGCAGGTTGGGGTGCTTGTGCGCGAAGCCGGATGGCGAGAACGACATTATTCAGTGCCGACACCAGGTCGGCGGACCTCGTCGTCGGGGTTTCTTTTTGTTGTTCAAGCAGGGACTGCTGGACTAATATCTGCCGACGACCGGGGCTCAGCTGCTTGAATTGCGCGAGCAACAAACTGATCTCAGATAGCGGAGAGAAGAAAAAAAAGAAAAGAAAAAAAAAAAGTCAGCGAAGCCAAAAATCCACGATCTCCCTTGCACAGCACTACCACAACACAAGCCCAATAACAAGGAGAGGCACCTCTCACCGCGGAGCTCGTTGTAGACAGTGAACTAACCAGTCCGCGAGAGAGAGAGAGAGAGAGAGAGAGAGAGAGAGAGAGAGAGAGAGAGAGAGAGAGAGAGAGAGAGAGAGAGAGAGAGAGAGAGAGAGAGAGAGAGAGAGAGAGAGAGAGAGAGAGAGAGAGAGAGAGAGAGAGAGAGAGAGAGAGAGAGAGAGAGAGAGAGAGAGAGAGAGAGAGAGAGAGAGAGAGAGAGAGAGAGAGAGAGAGAA